CAACGGTATCTGTTCTGTTCCATGATGTTTTAAAAGAATTCGTTAAGTAATGATATGTTTATTGGTTGTATGTTTATTTCTTTACACAAACTTCCATTTCATATTATTCTGCTTTATCTTGCCTTTTAGAGTTTGTTTTTAATTGATTTTGTTGTTTTTAAGTTCCTTATCATGAATAGGCCTTTGAGAATTTTCTTTGGCTTCTTGGGTTATGTTTCCTTCCAAAATGGGTTCTTTGCCATTTATATGCCTTATTCATTTCTTCAGTTTTTTTCTTGCCTTTATCTTCTTTTTTGTTTCTTCTAAGCTGTGATATATGTGCATTGTTTTTTTTCCTATTTATTTATTTATTCATTTAATGTAAAATGTATTATTTGTTTCAGGGGTACAGGTGTGTGATTCATCAGTCTTACACAATTCACAGCGCTACCATAGCACATACCCTCCCCAGTGTCCATCACCCAGCCACCCCATCCCTTCCACCCCACTCCACTTCTGCAACCCTCAGTTTGTCTCTTACAGTTTGTCTCCCTCTCTGGTTTCATCTTGTTTCATTTTTCCTTCCCTTCCCCTATGATCCTTGGTCTTATTTCTCAAATTCCTCATATCTGTGAGATCATATGATAATTGTCTTTCTCTGATTGACTTATTTCACTTGGCATAATACCCTCTAGTTCTATGCATGTCATTGCAAATGGCAAGATTTCATTTTTTGATGGCTGCATAATATTCCATTGTGTGTGTGTGTGTGTGTATACACACACACACACACCACATCTTCTTTATCCATTCATCTGTTGATGGACATCTAGGCTCTTTCATAGTTTGGCCATTGTGGATATTGCTGTTATAAACATTGGGGTGCACGTGCCCCTTCGGATCACTACATTTGTGTCTTTGGGGTAAATACCCAGTAGTGCAATTGCTGGGTCGTAGGGTAGCTCTATTTTCAACTTTTGAGGAACCTCCATACTGTTTTCCAGAGTGGCTGCACCAGCTTGCATTCCCACCAACAGCGTAGGAGGGTTCCCTTATCTCCGCATCCTCGCCAACATCTGTTGTTTCCTGACTTGTTAATTTTAGCCATTCTGACTGGTGTGAGGTGGTATCTCATTGAGGTTTTTTTTTTTAAGAGATTTTATTTATTTTTCCACAGAGAGAGAGAGACAGCGAGAGAGGGAACACAAGTAGGGGGAGTGGGAGAGGGAGAAGCAGGCTTCCCGCTGAGCAGGGAGCCCGATGTGGGGCTCGATCCCAGGACCCTGGGATCATGACCTGAGCTGAAGGCAGACGCTTAAATGACTGAGCCACCCAGGCGACCTCACTGAGGTTTTGATTTGTATTTCCCTGATGCCGAGTGATGTTGAGCACTTTTTCATGTGTCTGTTGGCCATTTGGATGTCTTCTTTGCAGAAATGTCTGTTCATGTCTTCTGCCCGTTTCTTGATTGGATTAGTTGTTCTTTGGGTGTTGAGTTTGATAAGTTCTTTTTTTTTTTTTTTTAATTTTATTTATTTATTTGACAGAGGAGACCCAGCAGGAGAGGGAACACAAGCAAGGGGAGTGGGAGAGGGAGAAGCAGGCTTCCCACCGAGCAGGGAGCCCGATGCGGGGCTCGATCCCAGGACCTTGGGATCATAACCTGAGCCGAACGAAGGCAGACACTTAACGACTGAGCCACCCAGGTGCCCCAAGTTTGATAAGTTCTTTATAGATTTTGGATACTAACCCTTTTATCTGATAAGATATTTGCAAATATCTTCTCCCATTCTGTCGGTTATCTTTTGGTTTTGTCTGTTTCCTTTGCTGTGCAAAAGCTTTTTATCTTGATGAAGTCCCAATAGTTCATTTTTGCCCTTGCTTCCCTTGCCTTTGGCGATGTTTCTAGGAAGAAGTTGCTTCGGCTGAGGTCGAAGAGGTTGCTGCCTGTGTTCTCAAGGATTTTGATGGATTCCTGTCTCACTTTTAGGTCTTTGATCCATTTTGCGTCTATTTTTGTGTGCAGTGTAAGGAAATGGTCCAGTTTCATTCTTCTGTATGTGGCTGTCCAATTTTCCCAACACCATTTGTTGAAGAGACTGTCTTTCCACTGGACATTCTTTCCTGCTTTGTCAAAGATTAGTTGACCATAGAGTTGAGGGTCCATTTCTGGGCTCTTTATTCTGTTCCATTGATCTGTGTGTGTTTTTTGTGCCAGTACCATACTATTTTGATGATTACAGCTTTGTAATAGAACTTGAAGTCTGGAATTGTGATGCCGCCAGCTTTGCTTTTCTTTTTCAACATTCCTCTGGCTATTCAGGGTCTTTTCCGGTTCCATACAAATTTTAGGATATGTTCCATTTCTTTGAAAAAACATGTGCATTGTTTTTTCAGCATGTTGGTGATTGATGTAGAGAACATCAGTCTACTTACATATGGTGTTGATGGATTATTTTTAATATCTTATCTATCTTAACCTAAACTTGTTTTTCTCCTGGACCTCAATTTGAATGCTGGGTCTTGCTGAGAGCAGGGAAGGGGAAGCAAAGGAAAAGGGGTGACTGAGAGCCAGATGGGCAATATGACTTTTAGGTTTTGTTCTCTTAAAGTACCCAGTGTTCCCCTCCTGAATTTCCTCCAACTACTCATGAAAATATATTAATACCTTGTGCAGGTACATCCTTAAGCTTCAGACCTTTTAGTTCATTTTGCTCTGAGCCCTAGAAAGTGACCCCCTCCTCCAAAAATGTGGAAATGGTTAGAAACTTTTACCCTTGGTTGACTTTTCCCTGTATTACTTATTCTTTGCTCAGTTCCCCTTCTTGCCATTTTGAAAGCTGTTTCTGATAAGTATTTGGATTTTGTAAACTTTTCCCCCGCAACCACTTATTAGGGTAGAAATAAGAATTATCAGAAGTCACATAGGACTTTCTGTTTCTTATTTAGAGTATCACTCTTCAAAATTTGTTGCAGGAGGTTGTATATTGGGTTGTTGCTAATAAAACTTGGCTTTTAAAATTTTATTTAAATGTTTGTTGTAATCGGTTTTGAATAAGGGAGGTTCTGTAATTTAGGTCAGGGTTTCTTAACCTTGGCACAACTGATATTTTGGGTTGGATAGTTCTTTTTTGTAGGGGATTGTCTTGTGAATTGTGGGATGTTTTTGTTTTTTAAATTTTTTTTAAGATTTTATTTATTTATTCATGAGAGACAGAGAGAGAGAGAGAGAGGCAGAGGGAGAAGCAGGCTCCCAAGGAGCAGGGAGCCCCATGTGGGACTTGATCCCAGGACCCTGGGATCACGACCTGAGCCGAAGGCAGACGCTTAACCATCTGAGCCACCCAGGCGCCCTGTTTTATTGTTTTTTGCCTTGTGGGATGTTTAACAGCATCCCTGGCTTCTACCCACTAAATGCCAGTAGCATTCCCCTAGTTGAGACAATTAAAAATATCTTTAGACTTTGCCAAATATTCCCTGGGGAGAAAAATCACCCTGGGTTTGGAACTATTGATTAACTTAATCTCTCATCTTACTCCTCTTGCTAAACACCTGCATCTAAATTTTAAATAGTTTTCTTAAGTAGCCTGGTAAGTATTACCAAAGATACACATCAGATTTAGAAAAAAAAGCTCTAATATATTCTTGCAATTCAACTTAATACTACATGAATGTTAACTGTATAGGACTTAGAAGCTATCTGAATAGTAATCCATGAATTAAAAAAAAAGGTTTATGAACAATGTGGAATTTTACTGAGTGAAAAAAATTAAGACTTTTTTAAATGACTTATTGTTAGGGGTAATGATACTCACAGTAGATTTACTTTTTTCTCCCTCATTAATTAAAATCATGGTTTAGCCAAGTAAGTGAAGAAAATTCTTATTGGCAATTCAGTTGTTTACCGTTTAGGAGACTGGCACTCTCCAGTTCTAAGCTAAATAATTGTCATGGTAAAGTAATTTCCTTGAAAAGAACAGGCATTGATTCGCCCCTGTTACTCACAAATCCTATTTCAGTCAAATTGGAAAACTATTAAGCTTTGGGGAAAAAATCAATAGGTATCAGGAAACCATTAGATCTTGTGGCCCTTGCTATATCTTGCATGAGTAATCACTGTAGACAGCTGACAGGTATTTCGCTGTTGACACAGTGATGCTGGGGGGCCACATCTCCTCAGTGTAAGTGGACAGCTTCAGACACGGGGATGAGTTCAGTTATCCTTGTTTTTCCCCAGTACTCATTCTTTTGGACAGCCCTGTCACTAACTGGACCTGTGATGCTTTGAAAAATCAAATACTTCTTTTACGGCCGGTTTTCTTTTTCTTGTGTAATAGCAAACTGATCAGGGCGTGTGCTTTGCTACTGAACCAGTGTCTGTCAAAAACAAGTTTTAATTTCTTACTTAGAAGTTTTTTCCTCAGATCCAAACTTTATATCCGTATTAAACAAATAGTATAAGGTTTTACTAGTAATGCTCTTATAGAGTGTATAATTTTGCCTTCTGTTCTTTTCCTTCTATAAAACTTACAGGTTTTTCTCTTTTTCAGTCAAGTGGCTTCCGAATTATCTATATTGTGTTTTGCTTCCCCTTAGAGAGAGAATTCATTATTTGTTAACTGCATGATTATTAAATTTGGAAGAGAAAACATAAAAATAAGTCCCGTGTGCACATATCCATAGTGCCCAAATTATTTGGTAGTATCTATTGGCAGATTACTATGGCATTGATAGAAGCTTGGTGTTGGGTTTGTATGTGATAAGAGCTGATCTGTTTTTCTTTTTCTTTCTTTCTTTTTTTTGTGGGGGGGGGCAGAAAAGGGAGAGGGGAAGAAATGAGTATAAATAGTAAAAGATTCTGTCATTGTAATTCCCATAAAGAAGTTTGGAAAGCCATACATAATTTGTGTATGTGTTCGCCTGCTAATTCTTTTAGGACACATTAAAACAGCCTGGGTAGAATAGTGTTTCTCAGTTTGAATAAATATTTTTATTTGATCAATATTGTACATATTTTTCAGGTGCTGTAGCTTCTATGTTTTGGGTTGATGCTGAATTAGGGGTTGATATTTATCTTGATGGTAAGTTAAAAAGCAAATATTCTTTTGTTTTCAAGGAAAATGTTATGGTTAAGATTTTTTTTTCCCCGCTCACATTATAATTTTAATCTTTTTAAACTTGTTTAGTTTGATGATGAAGTAAGATTCCAAAGCCCCAGAGAGTGGTAGAACTAGATGTCGGGTCTTAATGTCAGCTCCCAATTTAGTCCTTCCACTAAGGTTTTCCTTTTAAAATGCTATGTCAGTTTCTTACATCCTCTATTTGATTTATGTACTTAGTATGTTAGAGAGTTTTTTATTTTATTTAAAATATACAGTATGAGGGGCGCCTGGGTGGCTCAGTTGGTTAATCGGCTGCCTTCGGCTCGGGTCGTGATCCCGGGGTCCTGGGATCGAGTCCCGCATCGGGCTCCCTGCTCCGCGGGCGGCCTGCTTCTCCCTCTCCCTCTGCCTGCCTCTCTGCCTACTTGTGCTCTCTATCTCTCCGTCAAATAAATAAACAAAATCTTAAAAAAAATAAAAATAAAATGAAAATAAAATATACAGTATGAGGATCATATTTCTGCTTTCATTTTCCCTTGAAGATAAGAATTAAGCAAAGCCCCCACTCCTTACTTTTTTTGCCATAACACTTTTGGGCAATTGTATTCATAGACTTCATTTAAGACATATAGAAACTTTATGAATGAAGTAACTATGCCCCTCCCACCCTTTACCTTTCTTTAAACCAGGTCTTCCACAGACTCAAGAGTGAAATTTAAGACTGTGCCCAGTCATTTGGCTCTAGTATATGTAGCATGGAGCTGGTTGAATTCCCTAGGTATCATCAGACTCATTCTGCTGTTATCATTTGAAAAAATTATTTGGCATATAAATTCAGAGATTGACAAACTGACCATTTGGAAACTTAGGTACATGTTACGGAAAATACTTGTGTGAGTTAGATTTGGTGCAAATTATTAGGAATAAGATATCTTAAGACATCTCAGATTTGTTAAGCAGTAATTTAAATGTTAAGAAAAGTCTTGATTTTGATAATGTGAATATATAAACTGGAAATAACCTGTCTTGTGTAATTTATCACATTCCAGTTTATATTACGGAATTTGTCTCATCATATTTTGGATTTAAAGCTTTTTAAAGGCCAGAAAAATCTTATTTTCTTATTTACTTCTTTATTTAATTTAAAAAATTATTTTATAACCTCCCTAATGGGTTAAAATGGTGCTAAGGCACTCAGTACACATTTAAAATGTGTCTGCTTGTTCGTGGAATTGAATTAAATTGCAGCTTTGGCAAGAGAAAAAAACAATATTTTATTGAGTAACATTTGTGAACTGAAATAGGTTAGTTGTGATTTTCATTCTCAAGCATAGAGGTGATTAAAAGATATATTCCTTTGTAGGTATCATAACTGTTGTGGATTCAAAATATGGACTAAAAGTAAGTTGAAAGATTGCTGTGAGTTGCTAATTATTTGTTAAAAGCTGGGTTTGTGGGGATTGATTATAATTTTTTTTCTGCAGTTTTGTTTGAATATTTTAACAAGTTTTTTTTTAAACTATTGTGAACAATAGATGAAATTTGTGTGTCTTTTAATTATTGTGTTTTAAAATTAAGTATTTTCTGTTACTCTGTCTTGATATGGTAGTTGGAAGTGTAATATTTTGTAATGATGATATTACAGGATAAAGTTTGGGTATGTGTAACTCCTTACTGGGACTCAACCCCATTGTTGATGAGTTTTTCTATTTGATAGAAGAAATTGAGCTTGAGAAAGCATATGAGAACCTTTTTCTCTTGTTAAACTGCTACCAGACACAAACTGGAGAAATAATTGTGTTAAAAAAGAATCGCTTTACCTTATTTTGAGAAATCAGGGTTTATACATAAGTGTAGTGAGGAGAAACTCTCCTTTAAATGGTATCCTCCTGTGAATGTTTTCATAACTACCAAGTTCTTCAAATGCATTTAAATGGACTTCAATTCATAAAATGCACTTAGTAAGATTTTTAAAAACCTGTTGTTGCATAAAATAAAACAATATTTCTCACTTTCCAAGTGAAATACTACTAAAGGGAAAAGAGAATGAAATTATCCTCCGTCTCCCGGTCCCACTCTGGGATGTGGATAGCCCCCTCAGTGATCATTTCTTAGAAGTTTAAATTTAATATTTAAAAATGCACGTCCATTTTGTATTCTACTCCACAATATATCTCAATTTGTTAATTTGAAAAAGTGTTACTTCCGGGGCACCTTGCTGGTTCAGTTGGTGGAGCATGCTTGTTAAGTGGTTACCACTATCCCTTCACTGGCCCTTTGTCTCCCTCAGGAATAGAGCTGCCTAATTTGAGATGTTTGGAAAATAATTTCTCTGTAGATTTAGAGTCCAAATTTATTAGTCATCTTAAGAATCAAAGAAAGATTCCAGATACTACAATTTTGCTCAGAAAAATTCCGACTGTTCTGAAATCATGATATTTCTAACAAAATATTTATGGAGGAAGCAAAATAAATTCTTCATTCTGAATGTTTATTATAGGCATGTCTGAATTCATCTCTTACATACATTTATTACCAAATTTGGGATACCTACAGAAGAGATAGCAGTTAAGATATTTTATTTGTCTTCTTGATAGACTTAAGATATCATACCCAGAGTTAAACTCTTTATGTATTTATGATTACAGGAATAATTTTATATGTATATTTAGATTTGCAGAGAAGTTAAATAGAATCTATTATCAGTGTAATTGAGGCCAAATAAACAAAGCAACATTCTGAATAATGCAAACACAGTAAACGTTTAACCTCCTGCCACCTTGATAAAACCTCTTAAATTATTAAATCAATATACCTACACAAAACTGACATACTGTCAGGATAATGGAAACTTTAGATTTTTTAAGTCAGATGCCAGATAAATAACTTTTCCTTTATATAAAGAATTTGCCCGCTTGTCCAATTCCTCTGGTTGCAAAGCTTGACCCCAGTAGCTGCTTGTGATTCGGAGAATTCTGAGGCAGTGCAAGTAATGACACTTGGATAATGGGCAGCAATTTAAGGGTGTCATGCTTCAAGGAGCCAGCCCATCCCAAGGAAGGCTGAGAAATGGTACCCTGTGGCCAGGCAGCCAGATTGAAACTGAAGTGGTAATTGATATCATGGGCTGTCACTCTAATGGGATTGTCACCCATTGATCTGAAATATTCATTTTTTAATCACGGGCAAAGAATTGGACAACTTCAGATGACAGCTCTCTATTCTCAGGACTTGACACCCAGGCTGCCAACATTGTTCTTTTCAGTTCTACAAACGTGACAGCATTTAATGCAATAGAATCAATGGATGAAGTTACACAGGAAAGGTCAAGTGAGAGGTTTCTTTTTGGCTCTTCTGTTATATTGCACTAGCTGTTGAAACAATTCAGTCAGAAAACAGTTTGGCTTGGAAAAGACTGGAAAAATAAATAGACTGACATTATGCAATAATCGTTTTCTAACAGCTGAAATAGCGTCAGATCTATAACCAGTCCGTTGAGAGGAGAGAGCTGCTGCTCTTTTTAAATGTCGTCTGACATCTTTGACACTAGATTTCTTCCATTTTGGTCAACAGCAGTGTTTTCCCCCTATCTTGCTCTCTTCTTTTTGGTCCAGCTTGTTTCTGTTTCTGCAGAAGAGGACACCCGCTAGCCCTTATTGAAGTCGGGTCTACGGTGGTGTTATTTCAAAGGGTTTCTTTCTTTCTTACTGTGTGCTGAGTTGGAGGTTGAACCTTGACTTTTGGGAAGTGTTGGGTTAATTAGTACCAAAACCATTTTTGTCTTTTTTAATATATAAGCAAAAGCCATAGTCTCTCAGCAGACATGAGGAATCCTATGGGCATATCTATACATTCACACACACACACGCACACACACACACACACACACTCTAAAATTTTTGAAAAAGAATTTGCAGATGTTTTCCTTCCTTGCCTGTGTAGGTAGCATAGAATATAAAAATTGCCATTTTTTTAACTTTATAAATGGAATTTATCCGACTGAGTAACCAATATTGGAGAATGTCCCTTTGAATAAAAGACACTGGTTTTAGTCTTTTTGCAAAGTTTGACTTGGGGAGGAAGGAAGTTGCATGAGAAAAATAAATATTGGGCTGATACCCAGAGAAAATAAATGTTAGTGTGCATTTATTATTTCTTTATGTTTATATGGCCTTCAAAAATGCATAGAACAGGGCTTTTATCTCTTTTTCTATAATTATATGTGATTATTACATGCCTTATCCATAATAGAATTGTACATATTGGCCCATTTTTATTTTGGGGATTTTAACGTGTTTTTATATTTGGTACTTCTTGATTGCCTGAAGGTAGTAAAATGTTGGTTTTTCCCAGTTAGCTTTGAGTGTAGATTTCTAATCTTCTGGAGAAGTAAATGTGTTAAAAACGTGGGTTACTTTGTAAAACTACTGTTCCATTTAGATATGGAAATTCAAAAATAAAATATCTAATTTTCCTGCCATATCTTTTTTTATACCCCACCAACTCACAGCCACATAGCTCCAAATTCATATGTAAATAAAGCTTCCAAAAGGTCAACAATACAGTATTTTGAAAAATTTTTCAAATCCTGGAATATTCCAGGATCTTTCAGAAACAGGTACCTTGTTAAAAATACATCTTTATTAAATAGGTATACTGCTGAAGAGAAGGGGATTTGTTGCTGCACATTGTATAGAATATTTCAAATAACAACATCTACTTATCTTTGTCAACAAATAGGGGTGTTAACTAGAATTCATTCAATAAATATTTTTTGAGCCTGGTGCCAGGTACTATTTCCAGGATGGTAACAGCCTTGTTCTCTACAGGACATAATAATAGGATTTGCAGTAGCCTCAGGCCAAGAATAATTAGCAAAAATAGTAAACTTTGTCTTTTGGCAAGGAACAGTTTTTGATACACTAATAATAATAATATAGTAATTTTGAATGTAATTTTTAGGTAGTCTCTCTGAGTATACTCTTGCGTGATTGTTAATATTTATGTAACATCTGTATCGAAGATTGAGTCTGTGTGACATAAAAAGCTTTCATTCATAAGTTTTTAAAATTATGATCATTTTACTTCTATAGCACGTTTTCAATTTTTGAAAAATACCCCTATAAAAGAGTATCCTGTGACAGTGACAGTATTAAATTTAGTTTCTTCCTTTATAAAATGAGAATAACCATTCCCTCTAATTCTTAGGAAGGCTAAATGAGATAATGTATGTAAAATGATTTAAGAATTTGTGAAGTTTGATTTCAAATACAAAGAATATTAATATAATCAAATTGCCTCTAACCTCAGTAGGCAGCTTTTTCTTGTGACAGGGAGCATCTATTAAAGGTTAAAGTAATGAAGTGGAATGTTTTGCAGAGACAAACCTTTCGGCATTGATGCCTTTAGGGATTTAAACAGAATTATGGAAAAATAATAACTGCTTCCAGAGAGATGACAGCTACCTTGTGGGCCCCAATATCAGTGTCACAATATTTTTTTGGAGCTAGCTTGACTCTGGAGAGGTCAGCAAAGGAAATAGTTGCACTGAGGGGCCAGGTCACTCAAGTGTGGGTTTCTCTAAATGGTCAACTGCTTTTAGGCTAGAATTGGGGCTGTGGCCTTCCCACAGCTTGTTTTAAGGGAATAGAAAGGGCTCAGCACTGAGTCCATATTGTGTGTGATGATGCTGGGGTGGGAGGTGGGGTCTGGGACTGGAATGGATGGAAGTGTATTAGATTTAAGAAAGTCTATTTTGGTGGTTATCTCTTTTATATATAAGTAATAATGAATATTTAGAACAAAAACTTTTTTGTGAAAAAGGAAAAGGCCTGTAATTTGAACTGTAATGCCCTTTGTTTTTATTGACATTATTTATATCTGGAGGGTTTTCCTTTTAAGGAAAAGGAGATGTCAGGGGGACAGTATTTAAGTCCTGCCCCCTCCCCCAAACACCCCCAATAGATTCACTATAGGAAAACAATTACAAATGGGGAATAAAATGCTTTCAGTTAGAAAAATTAGTTCTGCATTTGTGTGTTCAGTAATAGAACTTGTTGAAATGTATATTAGAAGCAAGAAAGGAGTCTCCAAAGTAAAATTCTTTGTGTTGACATTAGTGTTTGTGTTTTCCCACAGTAACTTTTTTCAAACTTTGTTTTTGTTTAGCATTTAGAAGAAGAAAAACTGGATGGCCTTATCAATGAAGCTTCTAGGTATTCATATTTAAAGTATATATTGATTACTGGCTAATTGGAAAGAGAAAATTATTATGAAAACCAAAACCAAAGTGAGAAATATAAAAACATAGTCAAGGAAAATTCGTTGTCTTTTTCCCCTGTAATTGAATTATTGCTACTTGTAGTGGTCTGATAACTAAAATTTTATTTAAAACTTTTATATATAGCATAAAATGAGTGTTGGGCACAGCAGTTCTTTGAGAGGAGCTTGGGAGCAGTGAACATTTAAAACTGGTTTTTTGTTCTTTTATGATTTCATTGGGATTCAAGAGGATTATAAAGAAAAGAGTTGGTTCACTTACTGCCTTCTTCAGCAGTAATTCATTTGATGCACGTATTCACTGTTACTCAGAACAAAAGAAATACGGAAATAATTTTAATTGGCATTTAGAAAATTTTTTTGTTTAAACACCTTTATGTTCCTAATTGGGTTGTCTTTAGACTTAGAAATGTTAAATCAGTTTGCCTACCCTAAGCAGATTCTTGCTAATGGAGGAAAAAGGCTTTGGGATATACCACAGTTGCTAAGTCTGCTGCTGGGGTTAAGGGAGAGTCTCCCTGCGATTTGCTAAGTGTGATCCAGACATAAATAATAGACTGCAAACAAGCAGTTGGCTCCCTCTCATTCTGGACTATGGTGCTCTGTGGTGCTGTAATCCTGCCTGAACACTGCATTGGGTATATAGGTATGATTCAGATTAGACTGAACTTAAACATTTTTATAATTTTTTTCCTTATTAAAATATATTTTTTATAGAAAATGTAAATAAGCCAAATAGAAAGTAGTGAAGTGTCATAAAAGCCACAATAAAGATGGGGCACCTGGGTGGCTCGTTTGGTTAAGTGACTTGATTTCGGCTCAGGTCATGTTCTCTGGGTGTGAGATCCAGCCCCGTGTCAGGCTTCTCATTCAGGAGGGAGTCTTCTTCTCTCTCACCCTGTCCCTCTATCCCTTGCCCTATTCACTCGCTCTCTCTCAGATAAATCTTAAAAAAAAAAATAAATAAATAAAAGTAAATGTAAAAGGCTTCCAATTTAAAGATAGTAACTGTTTATATTTTGAGATGTCCACATTAAATCTTTTTTTTTTTTTTTAAGATTTTGTTTATTTGACACAGAGAGACACAGTGAGAGAGAGAACACAAGCAGGGGGAGTGGGAGAGGGAGAAGCAGGCTTCCCACTGAGCAGGAAGCCCAATGTGGGGCTCAATCCCAGGATCCTGGGACCATGACTTAAGCCTAAGGCAGTCGCTTAATCAACTGAGCCACCCAGATGCCCCATCCACATTAAATCTTTATTCATAGAACGCTTACTTAAACAGAAATGGGATTATGATGTACATACTGTTGAAACTTGCTTTTTCAATAAATTATTTTTGAGAATTTGGCTTTGTCCTTTGACATAATTGGCTATATCTTCAGGTAGCATAAAACTGGAATTAGGAATAAATAGCCTAGTGATTAAAATTTCCTGAAGAATTGAAAATTTAAAGAATCCTCAGCTCTACTTCTCCTGTTAATAGAAAATAGAACTTCTGTTTATAGTAAGCTATTTTGTTATCTAGCATTCTGTCAATGGGACAGAATAGCATTCTTTAACTTGAATGTCTGTGTATCTATTTTACAGAGAAAAACCTATTTATAGTGATGAAGAAGATATTTGTTCAGGATCCTGATGTATCTTCTGAATGTGGTTTAAAAAAAACTGTTTAGTGTTAATGTTAATTTATTTATTTCTTTAAAAATTCCATGTGATAACATGGAATATTTTAGTCAGTGGACTGTCCATATTTTTACCATATTGAATATCTGAATTTTATGCATTTCTTTACAAAGAAAATTTTGAGTTGAAAATGATCCTTGATTATAAACTTTTGGGGCTTTATCTTTGTAGTTTCAGAGTAGCAAGTGAGAGCACTTAGTAAATATTTTTTGAATGAATACATATGAAATCTGAATTTATATAGTGATGGATGCAGTTTATTCTTACTGTTTGAAGAATGATAAATAGGAGTAAAATCAATTACCATATAGAGTACTATATAGTTCTTAATGCTATTTGATCTGAAGGAGATGTTTCTATTTTTAATTTCTTAACATTTCTCTTTTGACATCTGTTCTTTCTTTGCTAATTTAGGCAAGTTGCTTTGGCAGATATCATCATCATTAATAAAACTGACTTGATTTCAGAAGAGGATTTAAGCAAATTAAGAACAACCATTAGGTATGAAGTTTTAAGTGTTAACTGCCTACAAATCCAAAGTGTACTATATAAAAGGTTTTTCCTGTATTACCCTGTAGAAATTTAAGGTTCAAGGTTGACCTGCTTCAATACCATTCTGGAATCATTTATTGTTGATGCCTAATTGACGCTTATGTAAAAATAAATATATAAAATCATTCCCCATTTCTTACAGAATGTAGTTAGAATTCATAGACTGATACTCAGGGTCTTCTGACTCCATCCTCCTTTTCCTGTCTCTCTTTGACTCTTTGCCTACAGGAAGTTCTCTAACTTTACTCAGGATGACTTATTTTCCCATGGATGTGTCTTGCCATAATATCCTTTCTTTACTCTGACGTGTTCTCACTCTCACTCTGCCAATCCTTGAATTCCTTCATTGTCTCTGTTTTAATTTGCTTCCTTTTTTTTTTTTTTAAGCCATTTTATCCGTTCTGTAGAGTCGTCCCGTCACCTCCTTTTCTCCCTCGCTCCTCTGTGAAATCTCCCCTGTCTCAGGTGGTCTCCTTTCCCTGAACCCTCACTGACTTTGTCTTCCTTGACTGTCAACTAAACGTGCCTGTCTCCCAGCTTGCTTCAGTGTCTTCAGTGTCCATGGCCAAGGTTGGTCAACATATGTATGTTAGTATGAATGGTACTCAAATATATGCTACATGATCCACAGTCACTTGGACTTTTCAAATGAGATTAGGGTTCAGGGACTTTGAATTATTTTTTAAGACAATTAATAAATGCCATCTACAAAGAGACACCCAATAGCTTTTATTATTAGTCATCTTTAATGGGTGTAATCTGCTGACATCAGATTTTGATTCTGTCAGTACCAGTTCATATAGTATGTTATAAATTGAATCAATAAAGGTGTAAGGCTCATGAGAAGATTGGCTGCAGTGATGAATGATTGAAGAGGAAAGAAATGCATATTTTTCTGCACATGTAGTGCAGGTAGTGTGCTGCATAGTGCTTAAGACGCTGGACTTTAGAATCTGGTTGTTAGTCTGGTTGGGTTCTACTCCTTGGTCTGTTTCTTGCTGTGTTCTTTTTAATTCTCATCTCTAAAACAGGAAATAATGCCTACTTCATTAAGTTTGGTTTAAGTGTTCATGAGACAGTGTTGGATATTAACAGTAAAATAATGTGCAGAAAACAGATGTGCTCTGTTAGCTACTGTTACCATTATTAGAGTGTAATTTTTTTTCCTGGTTTACATAGTAATTTCAAGCTACAACGAATAAAAATAGGAAAGAAATAGAAAAATGGTTGATATTTTTGAAAAGTCTAGAAAGATGAAAGCAGTGAATGGAACTTACTTCTTTTACCCCTTTTGACTCTGGTCTCCTAAATTTTGTTGGCCAGCTTGCTCTGTACAGCAATACCAGGAAAGAATGTGGACACAGTGCGTTGATAAATTATAGACCCTTTGGATTTTGACCCTCCATTGTACATCAGACTTGCAACTGACTGGGCATTAGATTTGGGGAGTTGGAAGAAGGTGAACATATCTGAGAGGAAGTGGCCATCAGGTTATATAGTATATTCAAGTAGAAAAGATTAAGAACTTTGTGAAATGGTAGAGAGACTTGCCTTAGAATCATTGTGGATGGGAAACCTTACCCACGAGAATAAGCTTGAACAAAAGGCACATATATTCAGCAAGGAACGCTGAAGGCAATGGAATTGATGGTATAAAGATAAATAGATGAGGTGTATAGTATGTTGAAAAGAATTTAACAAGTATTTTTAGTGCCATAAAGAGGGAGTCCTGTTTCATTATCTTAGTAATATCAGAAAGGGAAGGACTGGCAGAGTAGGTAGAGATTCTAGTTAGGGAATGAAGAGGTTATTTTGTGGAACAACCTGGATGCCTGACTTAACTGTTACTGTGAAACTGAGGACAGGCTGGGTGAAAGCCACTCACAACTAGGTTTTTATTTCTAGCCTGTGTATAGGCATTTCCACGATGTGTGCTTGTGGAAAATTGAGTTAAAAATCTTGATTTATCTACTCATTTGAGAACATTAGAATTACTGGCTATGAATCATTTTTTTCTAACGTGAAGGGTCTCTTTATAATGCACAGAGTGTCCCCTAGTTAGTCAGTTGTGCAGTAGATTTTTGCCTGTCACGTTTTAATACCTAAGTGGAATATACCTGATTTATGATTAGAAAAAAAATAATAAGCTATAAAAAATGTAAGTTTTGTTTTTCTGTTTTTTTCTCCAGATATACTTGTATATGCTTATTTCCTGTTTTAGAAATAATATGCTTTACGATCTTTAAAAAGTTTAACATTTACTTTTTTTTACCCTTTCTTCTTCATTTTTATGTTTATTTCAGATCCATAAATGGACTGGGAAAAATTTTAGAAACACAAAGATCAAGGTACTTTTAAAAGCCATTACTAATATTGACAGTAAATAATTTTAGTTAATAATAATTATTAACTAATTGGTTAATTAATGCTTGATTCTTTTATAACAAAGATACATGTGCCTTTTTAAAAAACGGGGCCCCAAAATATTTTGAATGTTCTTTATAAATTAGTTGGCATATTTGGTTAATATGTTTGCTTCTTGTTGTAGCAAAACTACAGTAGAGCCATGGTAAGACTGGGTAGCTGTGCTTTTGTTTCATGAGGAAGAAAACACAGGACTTTTCATCCACTCAGAAAAGTAACTAGTATGGAAATCTCTAAGAGTATATTATTAGGAATCATCTTAGCTTGAGGTACTTAAATGGCATTCTAATATTTTCTAAAAACTTCTAAGTTTTTTGTATAGCTGCAAAAATAATCTGTCATGTAAAAAGAGAGGAACCTTTACCTTTAAGTTTATCTTTATGTCCATTTCCTGTAGGTTCTTCTGTCTTTTTATTCTGTTCATACAGATGTGCAGTACTTTATAAAATAGACGTATTCTTGAAACATCTGTGAATTGTATTTCTTTGGATTGAATTCTGTTTTCCAATGAATGCTATTATGATTTCAGAAAATTTCTTACAGGGATATGTTGTTAAGCTCATTTTTTAGCAAGATTGGTTCAGCAGCTGAGAGACTCAGCAACATGCAGCCAGCAGCTGTGGGGTTCAGGGCTGGCAGTCCAGTGCCAACGCAGTCCTTAATTCAGAGGTTCTTTCCTTGGAAGTGCAGCAGCGGGCTTTGCTCGGAGGCTCGTCTGTGCGGCGGAGGTTAGAGGTGCTGACAGACTGCCCTGGGCAGTAGGCAGTAGCGGGGCAGCTGCTTGTGTGCGTGCGGAGGGCTGGGGAATTAACTTGGTGTGCATTCTCAGAAGCCACTCATCTGCGGGCGGAGGTGGCAGAGGGATGCCCTTAGCATAAGTCTTCCACAAGCAAACGCCCAAATGTGCTCCCTGCATTTCAGATTCCAGTGTAGAAAACCTCTGATCGCCTAACTCATACCAGAGCCATTCCTCAGTTATTGGTCTTCTTTCTCTTGCATTTTACCATTTTCTTTCTCCCTAAATTTTCTCTTCATTACAAAGTGACACACAGACGACCACAGAAAGCTGAAATAAGTTTTTAGAAACTGTATCCATCAATAGCTGTGGTTCCGTTGTAATAGCATTTATTTGGTTCATATTTACAAACATCTCAGATCAGTTTTTAAGGCCCCTGGATTTACCTTGCTTAATTTTTCTTTCTGTTTTCATTTTAGACCTTTATGTCCTGCGTAAAGGTTTTATCTTGAAGAGATTATTGTGTAACAATTTTGATGGTTATATGACATTTCTAACAGTTCTGTTATGTTTATAGAACAGTAAACATATAGTGATTAAATTTAGTTGCTTCACATGGATGAATGAGCAAATGAATAAAATCTCCTTTTTTTTTTTAAAATTATTTTTCCTGTTTCTTCAGTGTCTTGTGTTTGCCATTGTATCTGAGAATCTAGGGACTTTCTGAAATAGTACTTCCTTGCTGTGAGGACTGAAGTTGGATTAGGATCTTTTTCAGTGAAGATCAGACCTCCATGGTAGAATTCTTACCATGGTCATGAATCTTACATTAAATATTTCCCCCAATTCCTTGAGGCACAGCAACTTGAGCTTCCCGGTTTAGAAACGAGAGATCTGGTTTTTAACAAAATGGTTGAAATCACTGATGGAAGTTTTGTTTTATTGTATTTGTTTTTTTGTTTTTAAATTTTAATGCCTCGAGCATTTTGTGGTTGACAAACGCTGATGGTAGTAAAACTGACAATAATAAGACTGCTGTAAGCATATGTAGAAAAGGCTTACCTTGAGTATTGAAGTTGAGGAATAAGAATCAGGTGTAGCATTGTCTTACTGGTAAGACTTGAGTTGACTTTGAAGCAAATGGAAGTTCTAATGGGCCACGTAGACTTCAGAAGTAGGGGTGGAAGATCAGATGAAGAACCATTCTTATTTCTTCCTGACTCCTTTTTAATCTTACAGATTTCAGAGGACCGAACAGAGGAAGACCAAAATCCAGTTGTTCAATAATAAGTTAATCAGTTCAACGAACTGTTGGCCATTCTATTAGTTGCTAGGCATTTCTTGGCTTGTTGAGGATTTAAGCAATGGATAAGGCAAAAACTCTGCCTTTGTAGTAGGTGATGAGTCATTTGGGGGAGACAGAAGTAAACAGGCAAAACCCAATATATTAAATATTATCAGTATAACAGGAGTATTAATTATGTAGGGTCCTATAGGAACAGGAACATAGAGGAACAACTACTCAGCTCTTCTTGATGATGATTCAGGAAATTTTGACTGAGAATGTGATTATCGACCTCTTAAAGAATGAATAGGATTTTTTCAGATGAACAAGAGTAGAATGGCTTTTTAGCCATAGGAAGATTTTGTGCTCCAGGGACCTGTGAGTATTTTAGAACAGCTAGAGCACATGGTGTGTGGCAGAGAGAAAAAGAGGTGTGACTGAAGAGGTGGAGAACTTTCCACAAAGGGTCTTGAATGCAATGACATATATTTTGGATTTTTTTTCTGTGGGCAGCAAGGAGTCAGTGAAAGCTTTTAAAAGCAGTATGAGTCCTGGGAGAAGGATTGAATATGGTGCAGTTCTCCATGGAAGGAAATACCAGAAGGAGGAGCAACTTGTGGGTGAGGTAGTGATGGCAGGGATTTGGTAAAAGGTGTTTAGTTGAGTTTTGTAGATACTGAGTTTGAGGTGCCACTGGGGAAGGCCTTCAGAAATCTGGTTCTGGAGTTCAGGACTTAGCCATTGGATGGGTTTGACAGTTCGTAGATCTGGGATTAGCTGGTGGCTCCTGTTTAGGAGACTCATTGAACTTTGGAAAGGTGACTAGTAGACACTAACCCCGGGGTAGCCACTGAATTCCCCTCCCCACCACGTAAAAGCTAATGGTGGTAGTCTTTTTATTTTTAATTTTGTATTACTGTTTTGAAAATATCTGATGTTATTATCTCTAAAGGAGGAAATTAGGTATATTTTATGCCATGGAAATTAGTTTTCTAATTGGATGAGTGAAGGAATTTATTTTCCATGGGGGTACTAGATTTGGGGCAGGTCCATGGTAACTCTAATCTGGAACCTTAGACTTTTCCTGTTTTACTGTCCACTGAGAATCTGGTGAGATACAGTGAGAGACTGGTATTATTTTATTCACTGTAGATTTTTTTTTTTGCCCCCTCCCCTCCAACACTGCTGTAGCGCGTCCCCACCCCTCAGTGGTCCCTGTAGCGGAGAGCCCCAGTCTGGTCCAGGTGGGAGACCAGAGCTCCCCCAATCCTATTCCGTTCCCCTCCACACATGTCCAGAAAAGAGAGGCAGGCACCCTGGTACCCGCAGGACCCCCAGCTCTGCTGCAGGAGCAAGGGCAGTGGCTGGATTGAGGCAGCCTCAGTGGGGACTCTATTCTCTGTAGATTTTAACCTGTACAGATCTAGTGTTGATCCTGTGTGTTTTGGAAATATCAAAAGATTCTGCGTATCAAGCAGAATTATTTCTAAATGTGTGACATGGATTCTTAAAAACAGTGTCAGAGGGACGCCTGGGTGGCTCAGTCGGTTAAGTATCTGCCTTCAGCTCAGGTCATAATCCCAGGGTCCTGGGATTGAGCCCCGCATCGGGCTCCCTGCTCAGCGGGGAGCCTGCTTCTCCCTCTGCCTCTGCCTCTCTCTGTCTCTCATGAATAAATAAATAAAATCTTAAAAAAAAAAAAGAACAGTGTCAGAATGAAACTGTTTACTTTAGAAACTTGTGTTTCAAAGCTGACTTTTGGTATTCATACAGTTGGCCTGAGTTTTGATATTCAGACAATTGGCAGGTGTACTTTTTAAACTAGCTGTTTCCTAAGGTAAAGATGATAAACTTGGGGGAGAAGTTCATTCATTTGTCACGTATTAGTACAAATATTTACTCAGCTGTCATGGTGAAAATGGACATGTGTTTAATGTTAAGGCTTTGATCTCTTACGTAAGATGATATTTATAAATTTCTTTATGGAATATTTACTTCTTTGATGATTTTCCTGATTCTTTTCATCTAGAATGTCCAGAATTTCCAGTGTTGTTATAGTTTATGAGCATATAGCTTTGGAGTATTACTCTTTTAGTAAGATGGGAGTTTGTCTGCCTTGTGCCGAGATAAGTACTCCTGATCAAACAGTATTGTTGCCACAGGCATGAATATTTGGCCGACTGTTGAGAATCAGCAAAGCAGACAGTGCACGTCACTCCTAAGTTAGAAGAGGTGGTTTGGTTTACATGTTGGCATATTTTAAAAAGTCTTGAATTTGACTGTTTTGTTTTCCTTGTAAGAGAACTTACATGTTTGGCAAATTCCTGGACTCTAATTTGGAAATTCATTCTCTTGTCATTTTCCTGAAACATTCCTTCATCATAGCTTTGATTATAGAGAAATCACTGTCCTCTACTGTTTTACAGGCTCACGTAAACATTGGAATTCATTCACTAGCCTTTGTATGTGTATTTAAACCAAAATGAATGCTGTCTGTGATATGATATTCTCTGCCGGTTTGAATCACTGCTTTCCTGATAAGCCACAATTACCTCTAAATAATTCCCATGGAAATAATGTTTATTCAGGTAGAGCACTAACTGGGTTGTTTCAGTCTATGCAACCCTGGTCTGAAGGAAATAAACCATTCTTTGGATGTAGATTAGGGTCTTAGAGTAGTTGTTTGATTCCTTGTATTCTTAAAATACTACCTGTTATATCGTGGAAGGCGGGGAGTGAAGTAAATGAAATCCAGACGTCCTGAAGGTAACGTTTTGTACTGCACCAGTGCCTGCGCTTCACGTCCCGCATTTCATCTTTTGAGTAATAAACTGCTGCTTTGAAAAGTTCCAGTTCTGTAACTGAGGTTTTTTTTTTTTTTGGCTGTAAAGATGTATTTGAAATCAAGCTCATAAATTCCAGGATTGAAAAGACAATTGAAAGTATAAATAAAAATATGTATAGTTTATTGAAGAAATAATCAAGTAATTTTCTGCCTTGAATTTATACTAGTCACTGTTTTTTGAATTTTATGAAGAAATTCTATTAAAAAATTTTACAACAAGCTTTTTCTTCTTTGCTTGTGATTTTTATGTGTTCCCCAAAATAGTATGATGTATTGATTAAACTTTATGTCTACATTTTTGGCAAAAGAGTCTTAGAGATTTTTTTTTTCCTTGATTAATGGAATATATTTCACAGAATTTCCCACTGTTTACATTGGATTTCTTCCTTTTAGAGTTGATCTCTCTAATGTATTAGATCTTCATGCCTTTGACAGTCTTTCTGGAATAAGGTATGTTTTCTGTATTTTGTTGACTTTTATTGTAATGTACTTCTTACTCCACAGTTGTAGAAGTTACAGGAATGATTTATACAGTTGCACCCTTGATTTAAGCTTCTTGTCATTCCTGTGGTGTACAAGATCATTCCTAATGATATTGTTCTTGAAGGTTTTATTAATTGGATGTTTGGAAATCACAATGCATTTTCCTATAGAAATTTTAGTATAAATGGTAGTTAACTTTAGGGATTCATCGTTAATACTTCTCCACCAACCACTGTGTGTAATACTTTCTTTCTATGAGAAAAATGGATGAAATACATAAAAAATTTTAGCTTGGGGTATTGCTACACACTCCTCCTTTCTCCTCAGTGATGGATCACTTTCCTGTTTCTTTCCCTGGAGGGAATCTTTTTGATAAGGGAGAAAAACTTATCTTTCTTCAGTATCATTTTTTTTTAAATCATCTTAGCCATTTTTAAGTGTACAGTTCAGTAGCGTTAAGTATATTCACATTGTTGTGCAGTTGATCTGCAGAACTTTCTCATCTTGCAGAACTGAAACTCTGTTGAATGACGGCGCTCCCTGTTCCCCTCCCCACAGCCCCTAGCAACCACCATTCTATTATCTCTTTTTAAGCATTTGCCTACTTTAGGGGACGCCTGGGTGGCTCAGTTGGTTAAGCGTCTGCCTTCAGCTTAGGTCATGATCTCAGAGTCCTGGGATTGAGTCCTGCCTCAGGCTCCCTGCTTGGCTGGGGAGTCTGCTTCTCCCTCTCACTTTGCCCCTCCCCACCACTCATGCTCACCCTCTCTCTCTCAAATAAATAAATAAAATCTTGAAAAAAAAAAGAATTTGACTTCTTTAGATACCTTATACCAATGAAAATGTATGGCATTTGTCTTATTTTAACTGGCTTATTTCACTTAGTCCTCAAGGTTCATCCATGTTGTAGCTTGTGACAGGATTTCTTTCCTTTTAATGCTAAATAATATTCTGTCATATTGTCCATTCATCCACTGATGAACATTTGGGTTGCTTCCATCTCTTGGCCGTTGTGAACAATGCTGCTACGCCATGGGTGTGCAAATGTCTCTTCACGATTCCTGCTTTCATTTCTTTTTACTATTTTGAGGCATGCCATACTGTTCGGCCCAGCAGCTGCACCATTTTCGTTTCCCACCAGCAGTGCACAGGGTTCTGCTTTCTCCATGGACTCGCCAACACTCGGTATTTCCACCTGGTTTTGGTAGTAGCCGTCTTCGTGGGTGTGAGGTGGCAGTTCCTTGTGTTTGTGCTCTGCATTTCTCCAGCAGTTCGAGGTCATGACCAGCTTTTCATGTGCTTAGTGGCCATTTGTAGATCATCTTTGGAGAAATGTCTATTCAAATACTCGGTCCATTTTTTAATCCCATGGTTTGTTGTTGTTTGTGGCTGAGCTGGAGGAGTTTTTTAATATATTCTAGGTATTATCGCCTCATCAGATATGTGATTTGGAAATATTTTCTCCCATTTTCTCAAGTAGTTGAGTCATAAAAGCCTCGTGTGAGAGGTACCCTCCCAGTGCCCAGAGGAAAGGAGCATCCTTATCTCTGAAGACTAAGGTACACACGGAGGAATCACGAAACAGGCCTCTCTGAGTATCCTCCAGTTTACTACACTTGTTTCATACTCTGTCCCATCGTTTCTTTCCACAACCTTCTACTCTTCATCAAACATAGCATAAAAACGCTCAGGTTTAACCATTTCTTTGGTTCTTCATTTCTTTATGAAGGCTCTTGTGTCACATAAAACTTACATAAATAGGGGTGTCTGACTGTCTCAGTGGGTCAAGTGTCTGACTTGTGGTTTCTGCTCAGGTCCTGATCTCAGGGTCCTGGGATTGAGCCCTGTGTTAGGCTCCCTCTCCCTCTGCCCCTCCCCGCTACACACTCTTTCTCTCTTTAAAATAAATAAATCTTTTTTTAAAAAAACTTACATTAATAAACTTGTACCCTTTTCTCCTGTTAATCTGTGTTTGTCAATCTAATTTTCACGCCCAGCCAGGCACCTAAGAGGGTTGAGGAAAACTTTTTCCTTCTTACACAAGTTGTTGGCAGTTATTTTTAACAACATTAAATATTGAACATAAAGAGCGTGTGATTTTTCAAACATTTTGTAAGGTAATCTCATTCCACACTTGTTTAAGAACAGTGATAATGCATTAGTGACACTTAAAGAAGTAGCTATTTAATGTGATGCCCTCTCTGTGGCTCAGGCCTGTGCATAACTTTTCACTGTGCTCAGTTGCAAAAATGGAGAATCCTTTTCTGAGCAACCAGCTGGGAAGGATTTAATTTGACACTTTCTGTACTAAGACCCCATCCTGTGAGGCTCATTTCCCTCCAACAGTTCCTACAATCCTTTTCTCTTTTCTAAACTCCCTGTTACTAATTTACCCCTCACTGTTCTGCAAAGCAAAACATCTGCAAGGTTTTAAATCTTTTTCCTCCTCCCAGCCTAACCCATCAGTGTCCAAATGTATGCTACAGTTGTTAAGGTTATAATTGGTTGTGCCATATTGATCTTCTTGCTCTTTTTCGTATCAGAACAATACATTTTTAAGATTTTTTGTTTCTCTCAGTCACTGGCAACTGACTATATAGAAGGCTTATTTCTTAATATTACTTATTTCTTAAGAAATAGATATGTTTAAGGGAAAACATTGATAAAGGAATAAATATACCCTTCTAACTTTCTTTAGGTACTAGCCTTATTTTCACATTAGGAAGCATGGGACAGGGCGCCTGGGTGGCTCGTCGGTTAAGCGTCTGCCTTCGGCTCAGGTCACGATCCCAGGGTCCTGGGATCGAGCCCCGCATTGGGTTCCCTGCTCAGCAGGAAGCCTGCTTCTCCCTCTCCCACTCCCCCTGCTTGTGTTCCTGCTCTCACTGTGTCTCTCACTCTGTCAAATAAATAAATAAATAAAATCTTTAAAAAAAAAAAGGAAGCATGGGACAAGTTGATGAAATTTGGAGCAGTGGTAAAATGCTTACATGTATTTTTCTGGGCTGGTAATAGATCTGTTGGAATTAAAAAAAAATATGCTGACATATTTAACCACACAAAATAGTGTCGCTGAAGATTAGGGTTTTTTTTCTGTATTGTGTGTATATGTGTACATGTGAATGTGTGTACATTTTTTAACTGAAGTATAACATACAATGTTTTATTATTTTCAGGAGTACAACATACTAAGTTGAGAATTCTGTATCTCACTCAGTGCCCACCTCAATAAGTGTGGTCACCAAGTGTCACTATACAACATTACTACAGTATTATTGACTGTATTCCCTGTGCTGTATTTTTCATCTTTGACTTATTTATTTGTTTTTTAAAAACATTTTATTTAATTTTAATTTATTATGTTCGTCACCATACAGTACATCATTAGTTTTTGATGTAGTGTTCCGTGATGACTTACTTATTTTGTAACTGGAAGTTTGTACCTCTTAGTCCCCTTCACCTGTTTCACCTATTCCCCCATCCACCTCCCCTCTGGCAACCACCAGTCTGTTTGCTTGTTTGTTGAATGTGTACACATGGTTAGGAAAAATCTTTAAACAGTCTGCTAGCTTTTCTGTATTAGAATGTGTAAATAGCATGTAAAATTGGAACTGTGTAATAGATTGAGTTGTGGAAACTCCCTTCTTAGCTCCATATCTCTAAGTAACATATAAGGTTAAATCGAAAGTATATTGATCTCTGAATTTATAATCAGTTGTTATTAGTTTGCAGAAAAAACTTCAGCATGTGCCAACAACACAGCCTCACCTTGATCAGGTAAAAAACATCTTTAAAAATTTTTTTTAAGGATTTTTAAAAAATAAATTGGTTCTTTTAGGGCTGTTTTCTTTGAGTCTTGCTAAAAAAAAAAGTATTTTTGAAGTGTGTTGATAATTTTCAGAATTTGGATGCTTTTGAGGTAATCTCATCTAGCTTCTTAATGCATAATAGGAATTCATTAAGCCAGACTTCTTTAGAATCTTAAGAAATCATGCTTTCTAGCTTCTCCATTCAATAGGTCACTCTTCTGGTGGGAATCACTGCTTAAAAGCAGCCTGGGGGTTCTATACGCAGCCTGTTTTTAGCTATGTTGAACTAATAGATTAAAGGAAAGTCTGGTAAAAGCATCTATGGCTTATTTAAATGAAAATTTGAGTTTCACTTGCAGATAGCACTGTAAATTTGAATTCCCTAAGGTGTCCTTCATTTAGGTGCTCTATAACTCTAATTCCTGAGGTAAATATTGACGATACTAGGAACAAACAAAACATGTTTTAACTGTACCCATCTTTCTTTTAAGCAAGTCATAGATGGTGGAGGTTTAACTTCTTTGTTCCATTGAAACAGGGTGAGAGCAAGGGGGCGTGTGAGTGAGCCATGTACTGTCTTCCCTCCTCTGTCTGAAAACCATCACTCACTCTTTTGAAGCAATACTCATTGTGATGGGGCCACTTGTTTGTCTTCAGTTTGGCTCGTATTTATGGGGACCTGTACAACTGTGTTCCTGGCACTTTCCTCTCGGAAACTTTGTGAAATATTCATCTTTGCATGTTTTTAAAATGAATGAGAGAAATACAATTCCCTGGCTGTGGAATTTTTGGGAAAAACCAACTGTTTACAATACTCAGTAGTACTAAAGATGAACCAGAAGCATATTCTTACTGACTTTCCAAGTGAGGGACTATCATCCTAGGAGTCATGTAAAAGATGAAGAATGTAGTAGTCTCTTTCAAGAACCTTTATAATGGCCAGTATCTATACCTATGGTATCTTGCACATACCCCTCTCATGGCATTTATCATGCCTTATAATTTGGGTTGAAATGCTTTTTCCTTGTAGTAGTCTGTATACTCCTTAAGTGTAGATTCCTCAATGCTTTGCACAGGGCATGGTATGTGGTGGCTGCTCAGTGAGTATTTGTTAAAAGAATGAAAGCTATGATTCCCAAATGGGGAACATCAGAGTCACTTGTGGAACTTTCTAAAAAATATTGGATGCTCAGTAGTCCCCCCACCTCATATCTCCAGGAGTGGGGCTTGGGTATGTGCAAATTAATGTGTATGTACATTTTTAACATTTTATTATGGAAATTTGCAAAGATACACAAAAGTACAGAGAATAGCAAAAGGAACCCAGTTGCAATGGCTGTCAACATTTTGCTGATTTTATTTCCTCTGTGTTCCCAATATTTCTTTTGCTGGAGTATTTTTTAAACAGAAAATTTCAAAAATACATAAAAGTAGAGTAGTATAATTAAACTGCAAGTGCCCATTACCTTTGCTGGAGTGTATTAACAGAAATCCCAGACAGTGTGTCATTTCACCAGTAAATAGGGCATGTCTTTTTTTTTTTTTAAGGCTCTACAGGAGATTCTGATGCACTTTCCTGCTTTAGGTATATAAGAAAGGGTAGAATATAATATTGCAGACAAAGGGCTATGGGATTCAGGGGAATGATGGTCTCCTTCGGTTTAGTGGGTCTATCTTCATGAAAGATACTTTTTTTTAATGTACAGTAAAGCATACAGGTTTTTAGCATACAAGTCAATGTGTCTTTACATATATTTGTGCCTGTGTATCAGTCCATCTGCACATATGGACACATAGCTCTGTAATCCTCTCTTAGATCCAGATACAGAAGATTTCCAAAATCGTTAAGAGAGTTCCTTTGCGTCTCTCTCCAGTTAGCAACAGTCTTTGCAAAGATGCAACTGCTATTCTGAGTAAGACATCAAAATGTAGCCTTAAACTAGGAGGTTTTTGTTTGACTGGAAGAAGTAAGGGAAAGAGCAGTCCAGATGTTTGAAAGTGGGAAAGTGAGAATGCTCTAGAAGAGGAAGACTGTAAGTGTAGAAATCTTGGTGGATGCTTGGTATTTGACTCCTAAGCTAAGGTGTTGGGCTTCAATGTGCGGGGGCAAGCAGAACTCACGCTGTGCTGTCCCACAGTGTCAGGTGCGCTGGGTTGTAGCTGACAGCAGGAGACCAAGCAGGAAGATACCCTGTGACAAGGCCCTGGACTGTGTGGGTTGTTGGGGGAATGGAAATGGGATAAATCGAGGGCTGATTCACAGGGAGACTTGCCGGAGTAGCCTTACTGACTGATGCTGGGGCAGTAAGACAGGGGAACTGATGGGAAACAGACCTGATTGACTGGAGGGACCTAGGCGTAGAGAAACCTGGAAGAAACACTGATTTGCAGAGGAATGCTGGACTTTCAGCTTCTTACTTGGTGGCAGGATATCCAGTAGAAATGACTCGGGAGGAGCTTCACATTTGGGGTTGAGCACGTTAATGGGCTCAGTTTTCCAGATGAAGAAAACATGCAGAAGTTATTGCTATTAGATATTGTTTGCCAAAGAGTAGAACACCCAGGGGAATAACCTGGGAGGTGGACAAAAAAAACAGACCAGAAAACTAAAATTTTGGAGTTATTCCTAAATTTTATTTTAGGGGCAGTACCTTATTTTACTTTCATTTTCTGAATGATTGCTTCAGTTTTCTGCTGCTTTCTGTGTCTGGGAAAAGGAGAGTTAATTTTAGATTCAAAACAAAAACTGGGAAAAAAAAATACATAGGTAATACGTAGGGCATAGTAGGTATGTTATTAAAGTTTTATCCCTGCATCATCTGTAAGGCAGCTATCTTTCATGGATTCCTTGTTACCTCCCTATAAGGAGGACCCAGGATTGGAAGGTGAGAAGGCGAGAAAACCCAAATGGCAGTCTGAATAGTTTATTAAATTAGGAATTATGAGTTGTGACCCTTGTCCTCTCCACTGGGAATTTGCGGATTTCATCTTTAAGGTATTGTCTACTGCGAGAAGAGTTGATTGGTACAGAAAAACATCTAGTTCTAAAATGTTTATCTCACTCCTTGAGCCCCTTGATGCATTGTCGTAATTTTTAAAACCCTTTTTAGCTCATTTTGGAGTTAATTGTACCCCTTAAAAATATTGTCATATCCCTAACCTGCCGAAAGCAACAGTCACTCCCAGTAAAAATTCTTTAAGCTAGAATAAAACAGTATTGAGTTCCATGTTGAGGCCTTTCCAATATTAAAAGCCAAGTTATCCAACTTGAATAAAATACATTTTAAGCAGTTTTGAAGGTTGAATTGCTACTGTCTTTTGAAAATGACAAGTTATGTTTCATTTAGCAACCTTTTTGCTATGTATTTTGATATGGATTCTTAGGTATTATTTCTAGTGATTGCTTTAAGGGGAAAAGAAAGCTTTTTTTTTTTTTTTTAAGAAAACTGTTTAAATGCAGTACAACAAATAGTTCAAAGTGTGTTTATTTAGATTTAAAAATAAGTACTTTAAAAAATTTATGGTAAACACATGTGATCTACCCTCTTGACACATTTTTAAGTGTATAGTCCAATATCACCAGCTGATACTGTCTGCGTACTATTGTACAGCACATCTCTGGACCTTTTTCATCTTGCATGACTGAAACTATATTCATTGAACCGCAGTTCCCCATTTCCCTCACCTCCCAGCCAGGCAGCCACTACTCTGCTTTCTATTTCTGTAAGTTTGACCACTTTTAGATACCTCATATAAGTGGAATCATGCAGTATTTGTCCTTCTGTGACCAGCTTATTTCACTTAGCATGATGTCCTCAAGGCTCATCCGTGTTGTGGCGTGTGGCAGAATTTCCTTTTTTTTAAAGGTGAATAATGGTTCATCAACATACCACATTTTTATACTATACTATTATACTAAATTTTCTTTGTCCATTCATCTGTTAGTGTTATGTTGTTTCATCTCTTGGCTATTGTGACAGAATAAGTACTTTTAAAAATCTGACATTTTAAAGTCAATTTTAGTTGGCTTTCATGTCTCATATTTAGTAAGAAAGTGCTTTATGCTTTTCCCATTACCAGCAACAGTGGAGACTAAATATCAGTATATTTTGTCCTTAGATTGGTCTTTAGTACTTACCTTTAGCGATCCTCTGTTTGGATAAAAAACAATTTGGTCTTTTCATATTTTCTGCTCTAAGCCTGTGTGCTTTTCCATTGGTGAATAAAATTGCTGTTAATAAATGCAGTTGCAGGAAATGATGCAAAGCCATGCTTTACTATGTTTTTTTCTTCCTGTTTTAAAGCTTGGCTTGAGCATCTTATCCTAATTATCCAAGGTGGGATTTGTGTTTTCATCATCTTACGCTTAGCCCTTGTGTATTTTCATCATTAGGTTGAAATTTTGGTTACAGGAGCAAATGGAGCTTTGGATTTTAGTTATGTGACCAGCTACAGGAAATCTTGAGCTTCTGGTTCCTTAGAGTGGACAGTGAGAGATTTATCAGGAGCAGGAGGAAAAATAAATCTCAGAGTTAACATTCTAAATGATGTCAACCTTCTCAAACCAAGAGGGACATTAAACTATCATTCTCATCTCCAGATACTCTTCTCCTTTGGCACATACATGGTCAGAGATAAACTGAATTTTTCCTTTATATTTTTCCCAGAGAACAGAATTACACTTTTGCATTTGAGTTTTACTCCTGGCTCTGAGTAGTTTATTTTTTCTGAGCCTTATTCCCCCCATTTATAAAAGGGAAATAATTCTCTTTATTCCACAGGATTGTTGTCACGAGTAACTGAAAAGATGAAATGAAGTGACCCAGGCAAGAGTACCTGGCTTGGTACATAGTTGGTACACTGTAGAGATTACCTTCCCGCTCAGTGCTGAGAGTCCTGGAAAGGATGAATTAAACCATGAGTATCCTTTCATGAAAGTTTCTCTGTTTAAATACTAGCCCACTGATCACCTCTGTGGAATACAGAAAATGGAATTGCTGCTACCAGAACTCAGCAAGATAGTGAAAAAGATAGACCCAATATAGTTGTCAGGCAGCATACATGTTCATTTATTTTTTTTGTCTTAAAATATACTGACATTACTATAAAATATACCGATGTTCTAAAAATACACCATTACTGTAAAGAAAATCATGATTGATTATCTGTCTTGATTTATAGAGCATTATTACGGTGACATTTGAAGTACGAGGAAATGCAAAGGAAGAAAGTCTGAATGTATTTATTCAGGTGAATGCAGTATTTGATAATGATTTACCACCTGATGTGTTACTTGGTTGTTGCTGGCAGTGATGGTTGGTCTTACTGAATATGTCACTTGATACAGAATCTCCTGTGGGAGAAGAATGTGCGAAACAAGGATGACGACTACATGGAGGTCATACGGCTAAAGGTGCGGAGTAGGGTCTACACTTTAGTACCCTTTCCTTTCTTGACTGTGACAGAAAACCTTATTTGGTTTTAAACACAAGCGCTGGTTTTAGTATAAATAACTTTTGTCTGATTTCATTTTTTTTTTCTCATTTCCATTGCTGTGAAAAGAAGCTTTGGAAATCACTGCGTAAAGCGTGATTTATTTGCATAGCTTCATTTGCAGCTAAAACAACCTGTGTGCTTTGAAACATCATCCCTTGTTCTCTCTTCCCAAGTGTTCTGAGCAGTTAACCTGGCTAATGAGCTTGACTCGCTGGAACTCTCCTTTCCTTGGCACACAGCTTGCTCAGTTAGGGAAAACTGAATGAATGTCTTTTTTTTTTTTTTTTTTAAGGGAATGGTGGGGAGGGGTAGAGGGAGACGGAGACAGAGAATGCCCAGCACAAGCCCCACATGGGGGCTCCATCTCACAACCCTGAAGTGAAATCAAGCATCAGACGCTTAACCGACTGGACCACCCAGGCATCTTTTTGTGTTTAATTTTCCAAGAGAGCTTCATTAACAGAGAAATCACATTAGAAATCTTGCTGCAGCTAAACCTGTGTTGCTTGGCGGATTTAGCAGACACTAAACAGTTATACTATCAACAGTTAGAGAAGACTAGAGAAGAATTCTTGCTCTGTACTTGGAAACCCATTCATGTTACGTGGCATTTGGGTATTTATGTCACGGAAGGTGTTTTTTCCAGGGGGCAGTGGTTCTAGTTGTGTGCTTAACCAATCAGCAGTCATTTGTCTACTCCTGTGTTTCCAGAAGTGTGCATAAAGTTTTTATTATTACTATTTGGTATTATTACTGTTAGTAACTAAGTTTTCCAGTTAGCAGCTGACTTCCTGGGGTCACTAGAATGACAAAGGTAGAGGCAATCAAGAAACCATTCAAGTTTAGATTTCTTTACTCCCCATGCGGCCCTACCTGGGATTGGCTTCAGAGCAACGTGGGTGAGTCTCAGTCTGTTCCCCAGTCATTCCCACCCAGAGGAAGTAAGCGTGGGCTTTCCTGACTGCAGCACCATCTACATTCCATGATCCTAACTGACAGGGTGTATTTCATTCTGTGACTGCTTTTGTCCCCTGCTCCTGAATGCGGGGTGGTCCCTACAAAGCAGACCTTGGGGCACGTATACTATTGCTGCCACCGAGACCTCCACACACAGCTCCAGGGCGCATCCTGCACCAGCCCAGTGTGGATTTTGTCCTCAGGTGCGGGACGGTTTTTCTGCAGTTGTCTGTCCTCTTTGGTTCTTCTCTTGGCCTTCCTCTCAGCACAGCGACACTTCGAGATCTGGGGCAACACAGCCTTCACCTTCATAGACTTCCTTCTTTTCTGGCTACAAAATGTTAGTGTGATAATGATGAACATGTTTAAAATGTTCACTCAGGGAGGCGCCTGGGTGGCTCAGTCAGTAAAGTGTCTGCCTTGGGCTCAGGTCATGATCCTAGGGTCCTGGGATGGAGCCCCACTCTGCTCAGTGGGGTGTCTGCTTCTCCCTCTGCCTGCCGCTCCCCCTGTTTGTGCTCTCTCTCTCTGTCAAATAAATAAATAAAATCTTTTAAATAAAATAAAATACAACGTTCACTCAGGTAGCAGCTAACACTTCAAATTCTTTATACAAGTAACAGAAAATTGATGTTTAGATAATTCTTTCCAAGGAGTTACTACGTATTAAAATTCAAATTTGAAAAGCAGAAATCAAATCATGTTGTACACCTTAAACTAATACAATGCTGTATGTGAATTTTATCAGTAAAACTAGGGAAAAAAAACAGAAAACAGAAGTGGGCAAAGGAAAACAGGAAGAACATACACTTAAATACATAAATATGCCCAAACACACAAAGCTAATGTAGCAAGAGTGACTATGAGTGGTTTGTCTCTTACTGTTCTGCATTAATTTTATAACAAGTATAACAACATTATTTCAGAGAAATTATTTTATCCCCGGAGGGGCCGGTTTATCAGATAACTTGTTTCTCATTTCTGCAAATCAATAAAAAATGAACTTTATCCAGACAATGTTTCCTTTCCTTTATTCCATCATTCCCTGCACCATTCACAGCAACCCAGTCAGAATTATCGCCCGAGTACTTAAACCTCTCAAGTTTTCCCACTAAAACTGTGAAACAGGTGTAAAATCCTTAAAGTAGAAACATCAGTAGAATTCGATGCATGTTTTATCATTTGGTTGTTTAAATTTTTGGTTGTCATAACACTGAAAGGACATCCTAATACATATATTTTATTGTTAGAAAAAGGGATTATTTAAAAAAAAACATTGTGCACATAAACCTTTTTTAAAAATTGGAGACTTTAGAAACTATTTCTAGAATGCACAAATAAATGGATTTAAGTAATTTTAACAGCATCTTCTTTATGCGTGTGTATTTAAAATGGAATAGGAATAATTCATCCATAAACATTGATGGTCAGTTTCTGCTTTAAATTTGAACTGCAGCTGATTGAACCCTCTCATCTGAGCAGGGGCTGGTGTCGATCAAAGACAAACCAAAACAGGTGATTGTCCAGGGTGTCCACGAGCTCTACGATCTGGAGGAGACTCCACTGAGCTGGAATGATGACACCGAGAGAACAAATCGATTGGTTCTTATTGGTAAGTGACAGTTAAATTTCTAAAATATATATTTGAAAGTGATACAGTATGCTATTTAACCAGTTTTAACCAGTCTCAGCCCCTTTTGTCAACCTAACTAAGCTTGTGGTTAATGTATTTGTCTTCATGATGTGATAACATTCATAAGAACTTGTTAAGGCATTTTACTCCTCTTCAAATGTAGAAAAGTAATTAAAATGCCAATTTGGTTCTGAGGGACTTAATTAGAAATAGGAAGTTAAGGGAAGGGATCACTGATTACTTAGTTTTTGTAAATTTCTGAAGATTATCAAGTTGTTAATGATTTGGAATTGATAGGCAAACTTGTTTTAATAAGCATCATGTAATCACACTGTATTCTGTTTGCAGGCAGGAATTTAGATAAGGAGATCCTCACACAACTATTTATAGCTACTGTGATGGAAACAGAAAAGCGGTGGACAACACATTTCAAAGAAGATCAAGTTTGTCCATAACACTGGAAACATTTCTTATCCGAGGGACTGGGTGATAAATCGGGATTAAGTTTCCTACTGGGTGTATTTCAAGCATCTATTTTTTGCATTACTTCTGTTGTGAATTCTGGCGTACTTTAAAATAGTGTTTATTTTATGGAACACACAAAATGTAGTAAATAAGTACTTAAAACATTTGACATTCATACAATAAAACATAATGTCCTCTAAAGTGTTTTTTGTTTTTTTGAGAGCGAGTGCATGGGAGGTGTGCACGTGGAGGAGGGGCAGAGGGAGAAGGAGAGAGAGAATCCTAAACAGTCTCCACGCTCAGCATGGAGCCCAATCAGGGGCTCAATCCCAGGACCCTGAGATCATGACCTGAGCCGAAATAAAGAGTTGGACACTCAACCACTGAGCCACCCAGGTGTCCAGTTTTTTTTTTTTTTAAGTAGATGTTTCACAAAAGTATCTTTTGTGAACTGGCTTTGAAATTAACATATGCTGAACTTTTTATCCATGGAAGTTATTTATAATCATAACGATAAAACTTAACTTTCACGTTCTTTTTTTCCCTTAGAACTACACTGATTGCATAAATAAAATTTTATGGTTATTAACAAAAATTATTTAAAAACAGTATCACCTGGCAGGGAGCCTGCTTCTCCCTTTCCAGCTTCCCTGTGCTTGCGTTCCCTCTCACTATCTCTCCCTGTTGAATAAATAAATAAAAGTAAAAACAGTATCATCATTTTTATTAAATGAAATAAAAATCTTGATGTGGCTAGAGACTTATGAGTGGAAGAAATCTGAGTAAAAAATTAAAGCCATCTCCTAGTCAATTTTAAGCTTTCCTGTAGAGTAATGGAACTTCCATTTACTTCATAATATATTTAGATGATTCCAATTTTAGAGCTTTTAATTTTAAGTAGAATTTACTACTGGTATTAAATTCATCATGATTTCCTTGAACTTCTTTAATTTTCAATATAAGCAAAAAAGTGACAGGGTGCAAAACTTCAGACGTAATTGCAGATAACTTAGAATAATTTAACCATCTTTATATCAGTGGTTGGTGTGTACAGTGTCCTACTTATCTCCTATTCTTACTAAAGGCCAGCTCAGCATAACTGTATTCAGATTGTAAGAGAAAAAAGCATTAGATGGGATTTAAAGAAGAGCTCTCCCAAACTAATGATTATTAAATATCAGAAAGCTATAAAAATGCCCTTTGGAATTTTTTTTTCCAGAATTTTAAGTAAAAGAGTTATCTCTCTGTATCTTGAATGGTTCCAGTGTTTGGAGGCAGGCCGGTTGATTAGATTATCTGTCTCTCGGGGCGCATGGGTGGCTCAGTCAGTTAAGTGTCTGCCTTGGACTCAGGTCATGATCCCAGAGTCCTGGAATTGAGCCCCAGGTCAGGCTCCCTGCTCAGCTGGGAGCCTGCTTCTCCCTCTCCTGCTCCCTCTGCCCTTCCCCCTACTCATGCTCTCTCTCTCTCTCTGTCAATGAATAAATATACTTAAAAAAAAACTTACCTGTCTCCTCCCCTGCATTCTTTCCCTTTTTAAATAAAAGTTCTCTATATTTATCCGTTTGCCTCCTGAATCCATTCTTTTAAATTCATGGTTGAGAGAATAAGCTTGCTTGGTGGCAGCAGATTGCCCAATAGAAACTCAGCTGATTTTTGAGTCTGATCTGGGCTTTAGTTCCACTTCTGCTTCTTGGTTGTGTAATCTTGGGCAAAGTATTTTCTTGAGATTGGTTTCTGTTTTTATTTTTTTTTGAAGATTTTATTTATTTATTTGACAGAGAGCACAAGTAGGCAGAGTGACAGGCAGATGGAGAGGGAGAAACAGGCTCTCCGCTGAGCAGGGAGCCGGATGTGGGGCTCGATCCCAAGACCCCAGGATCACGTGGATAGTGATAACATCAATCATTCAAGGTTGTGAGGATTGAATAGGTTTCTAATGCACCCAACTCAGCTCCTGGCCCACAGCAGAACCTGGATAAATTTTTCTTGTTCCTAATAACTTAAACTTGATTTATTTTATAGTTAATGTTGCCATAATCATACTCCGTAATGTTCTTTGGCAAACAGTAAGTATCTAGATATATCTATTCTAGGCCATGAGAAAGAGCTTACTTATTAATTGTCCTGTTGTGGGAGAAATGTTTGAAGTAATATTAATACATACTCTTAAAAGTCTGTCTTTATCAAACTCACAAATATTTGTTTTTTCTCTAAAATGTATTAATCTTGGGGCGCCTGGGTGGCTCAGTCGTTAAGCGTCTGCCTTCGGCTCAGGTCATGATCCCAGGGTCCTGGGATCGAGCCCCGCATCAGGCTCCCTGCTCAGCGGGAGGCCTGCTTCTCCCTCTCCCACTCCTCCTGCTTGTGTTCCCTCTCTCACTGTGTCTCTCTCTGTCAAATAAATAAATAAAATCTTTAAAAAAAAAAAATTAATCTTGGGCGCCTGGGTGGCTCAGTCGTTAAGTGTCTGCCTTCGGCTCAGGTCATGATCCCAGGGTCCTGGGATCGAGTCCCACATCGGGCTCCCTGCTCAGTGGGAAGCCTGCTTCTCCCTCTCCCACTCCCCCTGCTTGTGTTCCTGCTCTCGCTATCTCTCTGTCAAATAAATAAATAAAATCTTTAAAAATAAAATAAAATGTATTAATCTTTAAATATTTTTTATCACATAAGTATTGACTGAATGCATTTGTGTTGTAAAAATGCAAACATTGCAGATGAAGTCAGTCTCCCCTGACCTTTCTCCTTCTGTCATGTCACTCCTTGGGGGTAAGCAATGTTGTCAGCTTCACTCACACACGTGGCTTATGTTGTCGCCCAAAGTGAATTATTTTTCAGTGATTAGAACCATAATTTTAGCTGCTTCCTCAGGAGATTTAGAAGCTTGTTATAAATATCCTCAAGGAAAGGTTTTATTTATTTTTATTTTTATTTTTTTTAAAGATTTTATTTATTCATTTGACAGAGAGCATGAGATAGAGAGAGCATGAGAGGGGGGAGGGTCAGAGGGAGAAGCAGACTCCCCGCTGAGCAGGGAGCCTGATGCAGGACTCGATCCCGGGACTCCAGGATCATGACCTGAGCCGAAGGCAGTCGCTTAACCAACTGAGCCACCCAGGCGCCCCGGAAAGGTTTTATTTTTATAATGTGTGTGTTTTTATTTTATTTATTTATTTATTTTAAGATTTTATTTATTTATTTGAGAGAGAATGAGAGATAGCACGAGAGGGAAGAAGGTCAGAGGGAGAAGCAGACTCCTTGCTGAGCAGGGAGCCCGATGTGGGACTTGATCCCGGGACTCCAGGATCATGACCTGAGCCGAAGGCAGTCGCTTAACCAACTGAGCCACCCAGGCGCCCTATAATGTGTGTTTTAAAAAAAATATTCCTTATATATTGTAATGCAGTTTGCTTTTAAAAAATTATTTATTTATTTTACAGAGAGAGAGAGTGCACCTGGTGGGGGGAGGAGCAGAGGGAGAGGGATAAGCAGACTCCCAAGCTCAGTGCAGAGCCCGAGGTGGGGCTCTGTCCCAAGACCCTGAGATCATGACCTGAGCCAAAATGCTTAACTGACTGAGCCACCCAGGTGCCCCTTCACTGTTTTAATTTAGATTTTACACTGTATTTTTATGTTGCTTATATGTTCTTTTAAAGATGTGTTGTCCTGTTCTTCATTCTTATTTTTCCCCAAATGAAGTATTTTTCCATGATCAGAATCATTATTGGTTTAATCCGCACTTCAGAGGACTTGGGAACTTGCCATAAATATCCTGGAAAGAATATTTTTTATAATGCAAATCACTGAATAGTGGGGGCTGTTACTCTGCCAACTATAGAAAATTTGAAGGGTATTGATGGTGATGATCAAGGTTTAGGCATAGTTCATCTAAAATTCTGTAGTTTACTGAGTAATATAGGATAGATTACTAAATCTCTCTGAGCCTTTGCCTCCTTATTCATAAGATGGAGAAAAAATGCAAATCTCTCTCTATTGTTCCAGGGATGAAATTTAAAGCACCCTGAATACAGAGTCTCAGTACAGGTGAATTCTCTTTTTATAGCAAGATTTGATTTAAAAAAAATTCAAGCTTTCTGCATACCTTCCTAAAGCAAATAGTTCTTTTCTAGGCTTTTCCCAGCTTTTGATATAAGGGGCAAGAACACTGGTTCTGAGTGCAAGGAAGCTGTAGGAAGGGGTCAGCACAGTGTGTGAGGGAAGACCAGGTGACTAAAAGAGTCTATAATTATTAGCTCATGACATTTGAAGAAAGTTAATCGTCAAAATAACGCTAAGAAGCTTTTAAGCACTTAGGAGCTTGGTTGCTTGGTTGCTTGCTACAAATTGAGTAATAGTCTTCTTTGGATTACTAGTGTAGGTGAGAAAACTATTTTTAGATTGCTTTGAAAAGACTATTCCAGTGTTAGAAATGCATTGTGGAAGTGATGTTGAAAGAAAGAAATTCTGCCTTCATAGACTAGCAACTTGCCCTTCCTACTGCAATAAGAAAGAAAATATGCTAGATTTTTCTTTGTCAATTAGTCTTAATACTAGAATCAACTTTAACTGTTGATGACCACATTGCCTTTAATTTTCAGAGTGAAATGGAAAGAAACCAGACAACGTCATTGTTTTTGTAGATCAGTGTAGGAAGTTTGGTGTTCACACTAGGATGGCATTTTATGAGCCCAATAGGTTTGTTCAGAAAAAAAAAAACCCTCTTCATTGTTAGGAAAGAAGTAATCACCAAGTATTACAGAGTTCCCACCATGCACTGGGCCGCAGGTTAAATATGGCAGGGGCTACAAAGGAAGGCTTTTGATTCTTATGGCAACACTGAAGAATTGATGGGAGGGGACAGTAAGAGTTCCTTTCTTTTCCTTTTTTTTTTTTTTTTTGGTAGAGTGACTTGGCATAGTGGGGTCTTGCTTAGTTTTCATTGATAAGGCTCTTTGTTTTCACATTGACATATTTTGTATAACACTTTTATTTAGATACAATTCACATATGGTAAACTTTACCCTTTTTTTTTTTTTAAAGATTTTATTTATTATTTGACAGAGAGAGACATAGTGAGAGAGGGAACACAAGCAGGGGGAGTGGGAGAGGGAGAAGCAGGCTCTCTGCTGAGCAGAGAGCCCAACGTGGGGCTCAATCCCAGGACTCTGGGATCATGACCTGAGCCGAAGGCAGAAGCTTAACGACTGAGCCACCCAGGCGCCCCAAGTAAACTTTACCTTTTTAAAGTGTACAATTCATGGCTTTAGTATAATACACAGGTAGAGGCAAGCACCACCACCACTGTGTCATTCCAGAACATTCTCATCACTCCCCAGAGAAACTATCCATCAGCAGTTACTCCCCATTTCCCCCAGCTCCCAGCCCCAACAACCACTGATCTACTTTCTGTTTTTACAGTTGGCCTATTCTGACTCCTTTCACATACCATGTTTTCCAGATTCATCCCTTGTAGCATGTATCAACACTTAGTTTCTTTTTATTGCTGAACAAAAGACTATGTACCACATTTTGTTTATCCATTCATCAGCTGATGGACATTTAAGTTTCTTTTTGGCTATTAGGCCTTTTTTCCCATGTTTAATTTTTTAAACTAATAGAATGTAATTTTCAGAACAGTTTTAGATTTACAGGAAAATTGAGCAGATAGTACAAGATACAAATACAGATAGTACAAGAACCTATATCTCCCCCACTTCAGTTAATGTCTTACAACAGTATGGCACATTTTTTACAATTAGTGAACTGATATTGTTATATTATTATTAACCAAAGTCCATAGTTTATTCAGATATCCTCAGTTTTTACCTAGTGTCCTTTCTCTATTCTAGGGTGCCATCCAAGATGTTAGTTATCATGTCTCTGTAGACTCCTCTTGGCTATGACCATTTCTTAGACTTCCCTTGTTTTGGTGACCTTGATAGTTTTGAGGATTTTTTTTTTTTTAAAGATTTTATTTATTTGAGAGGGAGGGGCAGAGGGAGAGGGAGAAGCAGGCTCCCCACAGAGCCACCCAGGCGCCTGAGGATGGTTTTGATTAGGTACATAAGATGCTCCTCTATTGGAATTTGTCTGTTTTCCTCCTGATTCAATGGGTTTTGGGGAGCGAGATCACAGAGTGCTATTTTTATCACATATCAAGTGTATATACTGTTAACATGGTTTATGACTATTGATGTTAACATTGATCACCTGATGACCTGGCTGAAGTGTTTGTCAGGTTTCTTCACTTGTAAGATTATTCACCTGCTCCCCCTGCCCCCCTACTGTAGTCTTTGGAAGGAAGCCACTCAGTGATGTCCACCACAGTAAAGGAGTAAGTATGCTCCACGTCCTCCAGGGTGGAGTATCTACATTATTTGGAATTCTTCTACATGGGAGATTGGCTTCTTTCCCCCCATTTGTTTTTGGGGGGGTTTTGTTCTGTTTTGTTTTAAAGCAAGCTCTACGCCCAGTGTGGGGCTTAAACTCGGGACCCTGAGATCAAGTCACTGAGCCAGCCCGGTGCCCCTCCCTTCCCCCATTTATTAATTTACTTGATCATTAATTTTCATTAGTAGGGATGCTTGAATATTTATACTTTGGGTTGTAATCTAATCTTTCCTCAAATTGTCTGAGCTTGGGCCAAGGGGTGGTCGTGGGGGGCCTCTTTCATTTGTCTCCTGTGCCCCCTTTGACATACCTCCAAGAATGGGGGTGGTTTCAGTTGTTTTGTTTTTGCATGCCTTTCCTTTTCTTCTTTCATTTTTAAATAACCCAAATCCCCATAGAAGTTGACTCTAGGAAAACTAACAATACTCCCTTTCCAGGTAATCGGATTCCTCTGCTCTGGCAGAAAGGTCCCTTACCTGCAGGGGGTTGACAGGGAGGCAGCTGGGAGCCGGAGTTTGAATAAGACACCTGTCACAGCCCTCCTGGAGCTTAGTTTAGTAGTAGTTGGTGAATCTGGGATTCAAACACAAATCTGTAAAGCTCAAGAGTTCTGTCATTTCAAGCTACATTTGACTAAGACTGAGAGGGTGAGAACCTCAGGAGTAGAGGAAAAGCTTTTAAAAGACAGCGGTAGAGAGAGGTTTTCAAAATTTTATCCTGAAGGGACTAGCTACTTTGAGCTTTGTTGTTGTTGTAGTTGTTATATTTTGCCCTTTTAGCAGGCTTCTGATTTTTTCCTGAAAATCCATTATCATGAATTCAGAGTGGAAGGTTCACTCTGTGACAATCAGTGGCATAATGTAATATTTTCACGCTGCATTTTTTTAGATGCCTTCTCAAATTCTTTTCACTAGTGGCTGGGTATTAAATTATGAATATATACTCTTGCTCAGCATTTCAGCATAAGACCCCCTTATATAACACACAATATATTGCACTGGGCTGCTACTCTAGTCTCTGAGCGAATTTAAATGTAGCCAATCTAAAAATCCTTACTTCCAAGGACATCAAGTAAGTTAGACAGAGCTTCTGTGCCATGTCGCTTCTCCAATGTAGGGAATGACGACCTAGTAATTCGGCAAAGGTGCTGAAACTGCACCTCTTCCTTTGCCTTATTTAAGTTTCAACTTTAGTATTGTTATAGTAAAAGTGCTTAATGTTGGCTTTAACGGGGAGGAGGGTAGAACACATGTGTGAGCAACTGACTCTCAGACTGGTGTATCCCTCGGTGTTGTGAGGCTATTTTTTCTGAAAACAGGATTTTTCACACTGGCTCTGTACTAGTTAGGATGTGGCAAAATCAGTGTGGTTGTTTATGGACATCTTTAAAAAGAAAAAAATAATCAGTGGTCACTTGTTTTATGAAACCCATTTTAATTACAGAAGTCTCGCTCTCCAAGTTCGCGACATAAAATGTATTTCATACTGCAGTTAAATGTTCAAAGAAGTTCAAGAGTCACTGATGCAAGGGGACTTCTCTTTAGCTCTCCTGCTTTCCTTCCACCTGGAACTTACATAACTTAGTGCCAAGGACATCTCAGCCTTTTCCATAAAGCTGAGTCCGGGAGAACATTTTGGGGAGCTAAGGTGGGAAGCAGAAGGGACCATGCAAGCCTCCCTCACACACCCAGGAGCTCATGGATATACTTAGAACATTAAGAATATTTCAGCTCATCATTCTGGATGAGGACGGAATCCACCAATGAAAATGGGGGGATCACCAGCTATGAAACACGAAAACATACTTTTACTGTTACACATTGTTTTACAGTCAAACATTGTAGACATTTAGCGAAAACATACTTTTACTGTTACACATTGTTTTACAGTCAAACATTGTAGACATTTAGTGCCGTCCCCCCCCCCCCATTTCTATCCTCCAACGGAGAGTCCTGAGTGTCAAGGTGGCCATAAATTGTTGGATACCATATTTTCCTGCCTCTTCTTTATTTGCACGTTTTCGAAGCACTTTAACAGCGCATCTTCCTTGCTGGCGGGTGGGTGTAAGAAGGAGGAGGCTGAAGGTTCTTGCCCTGTCGGGTAACGTGCAGAGGACCCTCATCATTGGACTGCGTCGGGAGGAAGTGGGAGCTCTCGGAGGTAGGGGAAGAAGGGGCATAAAGGGGGAGGGGGGAGCCAGCCACACAGGGACTCCAAGAAGCCTTAATAGAAGGCAAAGTGCATCTTCGCTGGACGGTGTTGGAAACGAGGAGAAACCAACAGAAAAGAACACCAAAAGGGCAACCACAAGGGTTTCTGCTTTTTGGAACACTCTTAACCCAGGCCTCCAGCCCAGCGCCCGCGAGCCGGGTGAGCGGCCGCCACCTCCCCTGCGTCTGCAGGACCCGCTCCTCCATGAACTTGCCAAAACCCGAGCGCCTCTGCCGCGCACCGCAGCGCAGCCTCCGGAGCTCCGACGGGGAAGACGGTGAGATCGACATCCTGGGAGAGGAGGAAGATGAAGACGAGGAGGAGGAAGAGGAAGACGAAGAGGCGGAGGAGAGCCCGCGGTTCCTAGCGCAGCCGGGGGCGCCAGAGGCGCGGCGGGGCGCGGGCGCGCTTCCCCGAGAGCCCCCCGAGAGCGGCGGCGCCCCGAGCGACTCCTCCAAGTTTGGCACCGAGTTCAGGGCGTCAAGCGGCCCTGCGGCGGCCTCTGGGGGCGGCCCGCAGCCGGCGAAGCCCCCCTACTCGTACATCGCGCTCATCACCATGGCCATCCTGCAGAGCCCGCACAAGCGCCTCACGCTCAGCGGCATCTGCGCCTTCATCAGCGGCCGCTTCCCCTACTACCGCCGCAAGTTCCCCGCCTGGCAGAACAGCATCCGCCACAACCTCTCGCTCAACGACTGCTTCGTCAAGATCCCCCGCGAGCCGGGCCACCCGGGCAAGGGCAACTACTGGAGCCTGGACCCCGCCTCCCAGGACATGTTTGACAACGGCAGCTTCCTCCGGCGCAGGAAGCGCTTCAAGCGCCACCAGCCGCCGCCGGGAGTCCACCTGCACCAGCCCCCGCCCGTGCCCGCCGCGCCCGCCGCCCTGCACGGCCTCTGCCCGGGCCTGCTGCTCGGGCCCCCCGCCCCGCCGCAGCCAGTCCCGGGGGCCTACCCCGCCGCCGCCGCCGCCGCCGGCAGCCGCCCGTGCGCGCTGCTGCACCCTCACCCGCTTCGCTACCTGCTGCTGTCGGCCCCGGCCTGCGCCGAGACGCCCGGGAAGGCGCTGCGCGCCGACCTGGCCGCCGCCGGCGCGCTCTCGCCGCTGCAGCCCTCCCCGCGCTCCCGGCCTCGGGAGGAGGGCAAGGGGCCGGCGGCGCGGCCGCGAGACCGATGCACCCCCTTCAGCATCGAGAGTATCATGCGAGGGGCCCGGGGAGGGGGCACCGGGGCCGCGCAGGGTCTGCCCCCGACCCCGTGGGGCTACTGCCACCTGCTGCAGCGCCCGGCGGGCCTGTTGCAGCACCGGGCCGCCCCCCCCTTGCTGCGCGTGTCCGCTGCGGCCGCCGCGTCGGCTGCCCGGACCCTGTTGGAGCAGCCGCAGCAGCCCCCGCAGCAGGGCCGTACCAGCGGCGGCGCTCCGAGCGAGGGCGCTCTGCTGGGCCAGCGCCTGTCCGCCCCCGCGGCGCTGCTGGGGTGTCAGCCCGGAGCAGGAGGCCCCGGGCTGCCCACGGTGGCCAGCCTTTCCGGCAGAGAGGGTATCTTGCCGGCCTTTTGAGGAGCATCCACGCCCTGTCCGGGCGCTGACTCCGCGGGGCGCACCTGCAGCCCAGGTGTAGCGCAGAGCAATGAGGGGTCCCGCTCGCCTCGCCTTCTGCTCTCACGCACAACACCCTGCGCGGCGGGGGCAACGCGGGTGCATCTGAATCCCTCAGCCGGACAACCACTAACTGAAGCACAGTTCGGGTCGCTGCAAAATATTTACAAAGCTCAAGTCGGATACTGTCCAGACAACCGGGACATAAACTTCGGACGGCGGCAACTCTTGTCCTTTTTTTTTTTTTTTTTTTTTTTTTCTAGCCTCAGGTTGTGGCTTCTAGGACTTTTCCGGTTACACATTTTAGAGGAAGTAGGAACGTGAGCGGGATATTTCGTTCTGTTTTAAAAAAAGAGAGAAAAAGAAAATACACAAGGTCCAATGCACGACTTGTTTCCCCTTGTTCACTCCCTAGGAACTGTAAATATTAGTCCCAAGTCAAGTGCAAAATACTTATGTTCTTTATGTCTTCCTGAAATGGATGTGTAATATGGAATTTTAATTTTGAAACATTTGTTTCTGATCTGTGTGTCTGATGTGCCATCTTACGTGGAAAGATGTTGAAATCAAAGCTAGCTATATAGACCAAATAAAATGCGAAATCACTACACTGCATCATTTATTTCATATTACTTCCCAATAATCGATTTCTAAGTGGAACTTCTTTCAAAACTTAGTTCTTGGGTCCCCTGGGTGGCTCTGTCGGTTAAGCCTCTGCCTTCTGCTGGGGTCATGATCTCAGGGTCCTGGGATCTAGCCCAGCGATGGGCTCCCTGCTTAGCAGGCAGCTTGCTTCTCCCTCTGCCCCTCCCCCTGCTTGTGCGCTCTCTCTCTCTCTCTCTCTCTCTCGCAAATAAATAAAATCTTAAAAAAATAAAACTTAGTTCCTTCCTCCCAGTTAAACAATTTAGTTTTACAATTCATCTTCATTATAGGTAGCAGAAACAATTTTCAAAACGGCTTTCAAAACTTCCAAATATTTGAAGTTGAAAAGGTCCTGGGTTTTAAAATAACGGGATTCAGTATTTATGAAAGCGATAGAAGAAAAAGAATTGGAGAGAACTGTAAATATATTCTCCATTTGTTTTTCATTTTTCTAAAGACGTTGATTTTTCGCCTGGACAAAGTGGAGTACTATCTGAGATCAACTCAGAATGTAGCGGCCAACATTTACTAGGGAAATTTTTTTTAAAAAAGGCATTCGAATGTTCAAAAGCAGGGCCAGGGAAAAAAGCAAGGATCAAATGAAGCAACTGTGTTGTGGACATTTACAATTAAAACCATTTTCTCCCCAGATGGATGCCTTCTAAGGGCTCATAGTCCATTTCTTTAGAACAGAGAGAACTTTGTTGTTGTTGTTTCAAAAGGAATTTCTGAAAGAACTTTGCAACCAGAAAGGTTTCACTGTCATTCGGCTTCCAGGTGACCGGGTGGGAGGGAAACCAGACGAAGATGCCCATCAGGAAATACTCCCCAGAGAAAGCAAGTCTCTAGAGACCCCGCGGCACTAGCACTCCCGGTCCGGAGAAGGGCTCCTGTTTCAAAAGAATTGCATTCCTTGCCGCTTTGGGAGAAGTCACTTGGTAAATGTGAGAAGGTCCTTTCCGTTCATCTACTCCGCTGTTCCAGCTGTGAATTTCTAGGGAAGACAGACACATTTTTACAGCCGTTTAATTGGTCCACTTTTACCCCAGTTTCTCATCTCCTCCCCAGCACTGAGAACTTCTTCGCAAGTCTTGCCTGCGATCCTCACCTCCTCCGGGCTTGCAGTAGTGCAGTTCTGGGGACGTTCTGGGAAGCTCTCAAGCCCAACCTAGGTAGCCGCCTAGACTCGAACTTCCATTCTCCCTCCGCCCTGCACGTGCAGTGTAGCCTTAGTCCGCACCACCAGCACCGCGGACTCCCGGCAACGGCCCTTATGCTCCGGCTGCCGGGGACCTAAAAGCCCCTTCTAACCCCGCCCCCCCCAGCCACTTTCCCTTCTCAGGTTTTGCCCCGTCTGCACCCCGGCTTTAAGATCCGTTTGGCATATTCTGCAGATCTGGGGCTACCTGTGTTTGGCAACAAGCCCTGATAAAGAGAGCTTATTTCCTGCCAAGAACAATCCCGCTCACGTTCCAGCGCCGCCCCCCACCCCCACTCCCCTTGCTCTTGAGTGCGAAACCCTCTGCGGGCCTACACGCGTTCATTTATTCGGTCAACAAACTTCGTGGGAGCAATGCGTGGAGCCGCCGCTGAGCGCGGAGCCGACCCTCGGGGCTGAAGCCGGTTTCTTCCTTCGCTTCGCCCCAGGCCAGACCAGCACCGTCACGAACACGGGTGTCTGAGGGTCAGAACCCGGCCCAAGCCGGCCTCTCCCGCTCCTACTAATGAAAGCACATCGAACATGAATTTTCGAGAAAACTGTGGATTCGGTGGAAGAGTAAACTAAACGTTCTCCGCTGAACTTGGCGACTGCGCGGACAGGTCGGGCCTCGCGGGGGGCCCACGGGGTGCCCCTCCCGGCCCGCCCAGCCACGGCCCGGGTGCTGCGGCCAGCACCAGCCCAGCGGTGAGGACCAGCCCGGGCTGAGCCCACACCGCTGGCGGGGCGGCGCGGGGGCAGGTGGGTCCGCGCAGGGGCGTCCGGGAGCCTCCCGGGTCCCCGCGGCTGTCAGGGCCACACCTGCTGTACACCCCCGCGCGCAAGGCACAGCGTTTCCCTGTTGCGCAGAGGAATCGAGAGACGGGGTTGCCTCCGACCTTCGGGCTCCTCTTCTTGAGACCGGGCTGACTGGACACTTCCCGAGCGGCTGGGGGAGCGGAGCCTACGGGCTGGGAGGCGCAGAGAGGCTGGGGCGAGGGCAGGAGGGAAAGCGTGTAAAGCGACTCCCCCTCGGGTCCCACCGGCTAATAACTGATGGCAGTAAGGACAGCGGCTCACCGTTCTCCTCTGCTCCCTGTCTGTCTGCCAGGCACTGGGCTCCCCTTTAGCCCTCCCAGCACCCAGTGGAGAAGCCACGCTGGAATCCCCATCACACAGATGAGAAGTTTGCGACTTAGAGAAACTGAGAAACTCGCCCCAAGACCCTGAGGCGGTGGCACCGGGCCCTATTTGGTTTCTGAACCGCTAACCCTAAGGGCGCCCGCGACCTTCTCCTGGTTGGGCCTCGGGTGGGTCACGGAGACCGAGGCCTAAACGGACCTAAATTCCCGGCTCCCTGCCCCAGGCCCGGCGTGCCGGGAAGCGCACTTGTCCCCCCCCAGGACCCGGCCCCCCCAAGCTCGCGCCGTCGCTTCCCCAGCCCAGCTCCGGGCGCTCTGCTCCGCGTTTGTCTAGGAAGCGCTTGGGTGGAGCAGTGGGAAGGTCACGGCCGGGACTGCACCTGCCGCGCCCGGGTCCGCGCCGAACTACCCGACTCCACCCAAGGCAGCCAGCCAGGAGGCAGAGAAGGGTGCGTTCTTCCTCCCCAGTGGGATTTGCGTCCTCTTTGCGCTGGTGAGCCCCAAGAACCCAGGCACGCCTGGACGTAGTTGTCGGCGGCGCTGCGACCCCCCAGTCCGCCTGCGGGTCCGCAGCCGCCGCCCCCTCCCTGCCGCCCGCCCTCGGCGGTGGAGTTCGGCGGATGGCTGCCCCGCGCTGCCCCGCCAGGCCACACTTGGTCCCGGGAACCTTGACCCTGCGCTCCGGCTCGCGCCCCGCGCCAGGCACTGGTTCTGGACTGGCGAAAGGGTCGTGATGTGGCCGGGGGGCTGGGCCGCACCTGCGGCCTGGAGCGAGCTAGGGAGGGATGGCGACGCTGGGCTGGGCCAGGGCCAGCCCGCAGTTCACCCTCAGGTCAGAAGGAAGGGGCCCACTGCGTGGGGGTGGAGGCGGGGGCGCCTGCGGGCGAGGAGAGAGGGCGTCTGGGAAGCTGCAGACTGAGTGGCAGAAGGCAGCGAGCCTCGGTGCCCGTCGGCGGCCCGGTGGCGTGTGGCGCGGCGGTAACGTTCTCCGCGTCCTGCCCCGGCACACTGTGGGTGTCCGCAGTGTTTCAAAATACTCATGGGAATGCAGCTAATGCGGCTCTCTGCCGAAACCAGACGCCCCAGCTCCTTTCATCTGCCTTTCATCTGCCTTTCATCTGCCTTAGAAGCAATAAGGACAGAAAATCTAGAGAAACAGCAGAAACTAAGAGACGAGGAGTAAGGTCAAAACGGCAGTAAGAACTAACAGGGCTGAGAGCGAGATGAAGCGATTTTCAGCTTTCGGGGTTTTTGCACCGATCCGTCACCACATTGCACTGAAAGCCTGAGGGGACTGGGCTCTCATTCCCCCTGGCACTTAGGAAGAATGTTCAGAAATGTCTAGTCTGAACTGTAATCCCACTCTGACTGCTAATGTCCCCTACCTGTCATTTCTACAAAAATGGTTTAGGCTTAATGGCTGTTTTTTCTTTTTTCTTTTTCTTTCGTATCAGCACTGAAATTATTTAAGTGTGTTTCGAGTATTCATTGATTCCATATACACCACTTGGTTCAAAGAACTTACATAGATGATAGCTAATAATACCAAAATCTACCACCCCCACCCCCCCAAAAAAACCACCGCGGAAAAATAGGTGTAGGAAAAGCAAAAGGGTTTGAGAATCTAGTCTGAAATTCAGTTCCACACCAGTTCCCCATTGCTCAACTACCTTAACATAATCAAGGTTTATATGTCAAAATGGATGCTTATAAAAGAAATACCTGGATATAAACTTCATTTTCTTTCTTTCTTTTATAAAGATTTTATTTATTTGACAGAGAGGGATAGTGAGAGAGGGAACACAAGCAGGGGGAGTGGGAGAGGGAGAAGCAGGCTTCCCGCTGAGCAGGGAGCCCGACGTGGGGCTCGATCCCAGGACCCTGGGATCATGACCTGAGCGGAAGGCAGACGCTTAACCGACTGAGCCACCCAGGCGCCCCATAAACTTCATTTTCTTATTTGTTCTTGGAATGCAGGAGTATGTTTATTGAAATCAGTAATTAAGAACACTTTGGGATAGTTATGATTTATTCAGCTAGTGAAACAGATTCTATTCCCAAATACAGGCAAAGAGAACAACGAAATTAAATTAAGTGTAAGAGATTTCCTTTTCTCAGATAGTTTTGCTATGAATAGCTATGTCTATATTTAAGGCCATATTCATGACCAGTAGTTCTGAAAATTAACATGACTATTATTGTGTTATCTGAAGTATCTCTTGTATAAGAGATATTGTGCCATATTTCAAGCAGTGTTGACTTCTCCCTTAAGTTTTAAGTCTTTTTGAAATACATATAATAGAAACTTCCAAACATACACAAAGTTAGAGAGATTAGTGAAATTAACCTCCATGTGCCCCCCTCCAC